TGTCACGTCATACCATGAGTTTGTCAAACCATTAGGGAATGTGTCACGCCATACCAATAAGTGATACTAGTGTCACGTCTCATATAAACAGGTAATTTTTAATTGTGTTACTTTATATCTACATGTGGTACTTGATTTACATTAGCTTAATTTTTACTTTCTCGTATATACGAAGTATAGAGAAAGTCTTGTAATCGTGCAAAAAAAATAATCGAGATTTTTACAAATCTCGACGTTTTACAACACACTGATACGGAAAAGCATAATTTGCAATCTTGTCCGTATGTCTGTGTGTGTGTCTGTCTGTGTGTAAACACAATAACTTGAGTACCGTTACAGCTAAATTGATGAAATTTCATATATAAGTATTTTATCAAAATCGTAGATCCTGATCAACTTTTGAGCGATTTCCGATAACCGGAAGTGGTACTTTTTCTACTTTGAATTTTATTTTTCAAAAGCCTATAACTTGAGTACTATTTCAGATAGGTATATGAAATTTCACATGTAAGTAAAAGATCTAATTCTCTACCTTCTATCAAATTTTGAGTAATTTCCGTTGACCGGAAAAATCATGTCTATATTCCAAGTTATATAAGAATATTCGAGAAAGTTTAGGGGAGATCACTCCCGGTTTATTTTATTCTTTATTAAAAAAAACATGTATATCTTTATTAAAGATTATATTATATCTATGTTCCTGCTTGATAAATTTTGAAACTTCCCTGTTGAAATGGCGCTCGATTTATAGACATTACTTAGCAGTTAAAAATAAGAAACCCTACTTTAAACCACACATTTATTTTTAGAGTTGCGTCAAGTTTTCCAATCTTTGCACTGCTTCTAAGACGTCTCAGAATTAGACAATTGCAGCAAAAAGACAGAGAGAAAGAAAAAGAGAGGCGTGGAGAAGGGGAGGGAGTGTATGTAGTATTTACGGGAAAATCCAATGATTTATCATGTGACTAATTTCGTCACACATGTCCTAGAACTATAACAAGGCCATATAACGTAACGCATTGACGACTCCGTGATCAAGTAGCCTTGTTTTATTGAAGAGTCTTCTTCTCCTTCGCTCTTAGTAGATTGCCAAGGACCGACACCATAATAGCAGAGTGAACTGGGACATCTACTCAGTGGCGTAGCGAGGTCGGGTGTCACCCGGTGCGGCACTTAATGGTGTCACCCCCCAGAGGCGTAGCGACCCTTCCCGGGGACAAACTTTCAAATTTTCGATTTGCACCTCCCCCCTCAAACTTTCGATTTGCACCCCCCCCCCCCCACTCAAAATTTTCTCTATATATTTTGCTATTTTTTGCCTTGGTGTCACCCCCCTAAATGGTGTCGCCCGGTGCGGTCCGCACCCCCCGCTCGCTACGCCCCTGCATCTACTGACTACATAGACGCCTCTCCCCTAACCTTTATATCAGGCCTAATTCTCTCCATGGGTGGTTGTTTGGATTGCAATAAAAGTAAGACATAATTTGTTCAATAGAAGCTATTTCATCAACTATCATTTCATCACACTCCCTGTTTTCTTATACCCTATATTGGCCTATAATCAAATATTCTATTGAAGATAGACTATTCCAATAGTCCAGTATATAAGATTGGGAGTTCACATTTTCTGTAACACATCACTGGACTGCTGTACGAGGGAGAGAGTAGTGTAGGGTGTAGCTGCGTTTGTTTCGCAACACAACATACGAGTAGCCTTATTAGGTTGAAAGAATAAAAAACAAAATTAATGATTGTTGTAATAAGATTCCGGCCCCCACCTCTATAATATCGACAACCTGTCGAAGAGCTCCAGTCGTTCCTCTGTCGAGAGTTTTTACATTTAATCTACAACTAGTTGAACTTCTCAAGAGTAATGTCCCTGCTGATTATTTATCTTTTGCACCCAGTGGCGTCGCTAGGTTGACTGCCACCCAGCAGAGGCGTAGCAACCCATCCCGGCGCCCGGGGACAAACTTTCAATTTGCACCCCCTCCCCCACTCAAACTTTCGATTTGAACCCCCCCCCCCCCCAACTTTCAATTTGTTTTTCCAACCCATTTTGGCGCCCCCTCCCCTAAGGTCGGCGCCCGGGGACATATGTCGTCCCCCCCCCCCCCGCTACGCCTCTGCCACCCAGCGAGGTAGGCTACTCATTGTGGTGACGCCCTACCTTCCCCCAGCAAGCAATCAAAGAATCCATTCGTACAGTCACACGCCATCTATGGATTCTCGCAATTTTATCCAAACAAAAGCAAGACAAAACAATCACCACAAAACAAGCAGTAAACAAAAACAAAAGTCATGTGACATGATCTAACCAATACTTGATTTATTATTGATGAAGTCACGAGCACAGGAGAGAAAGCTCTGTATCTACCAATCAAAATTAAGGACACGTCTACTTTAGACTCTCAATTCATGGCCTTAAAAATATTCTTATTCTATTTTTTTGTAACAAAGTTAACAAAGTAGTTTACTTGAACTGCTCCCCCTACAGAAGCGAAGAAAGTTGACCTACATGTAGGCCTCCATCCCACTAACATCGCCCAGCTCAATAATTTTTTTATTTACATTCCAATCCAAGTTTGTTTTAAACAAAATCTCTACACGTCAATTTGACCAGGTAAAAAATAATTAACAGTACTTAAAAGTTAAACTTCCAATCAAGCACTCTGTCCGTTGTTAAACCTTTAACACATCACCACACAAATAACACAAACTAAAAAATTAGCCAAGTTTAAAATAAAATAAATAAGTAATTTCAGTGATGTCAACAAAATCAGATAATTTCTTAGACCAGTCTTCTATGGGCAGAGGATCTTAACTTCTATTGACTATTGGTCTCTCACAAAATGTGGGACTGGATCCAATCTAAATGCAGTAGTTTCCTATCCAATCTATCAATGACCCCATAAATCCCTGACTTTACCAAAAGTTAAAAACAAAAGTTTTTTTTTTTTTATAGCGCCTATTGTTGCATGACTCTTAGAGCTAATCATTGTAACAAAAAAAAAATTAGGTGTGGAGGATTAAAGTGGAGGTCTTGGGTATAGGGAAAAAGGGGGGGGGGGGGACGACAAAAAATATTTCTCAACATGTGTATAGATGAGACTTACATTAAAGATTAAATAAAACATCACACGCTTTGGTAAGCTTAAAAAATTAACACGTTCCTCGCTTGAATGAAATCTACAGAGGTAGAGTTTCAGTTTAAAAAATGCATAATTTCCTTACTTTAAAAAAAAATAAAAAATAAAATCTAGTTCTATTTTCATCCGTTTTTCTATTTTAAAAACAAAATATGATCGGCACAACATACGCGGGATATGAAAGCAGCTATGAATCAAAACAACTCAGTCCACTGGGATAACTATTAAGCTATAAAAATTATTACAGTAAAACTTAAAACAACACAAAAAAAACTATTTTGTAATTTACTCAATAGGCAGACAGCAAAGCATGATAAATAAACAGGTTATATTGGTTTAGACATAAGCATGCAAATCATCTGTCAACAAAATAGGAGTAACAATGCCAGATTTTTACACACACAAATTTCTCAGACCAAAAAACATTAATGCTCAATAACAATTTACAGACATAATTACAACACATAGCAGAGAAAGAGTGAATACAACAAAATTATTAAACAGAAGCTGAATTTTCTGAAGTTTTTTTTAAAAGTTGCAACATCTTTATATAAAAAAAAAATTGTTTTAAAATAAATATGTGTAGAATTACCTCACCGTCAAAAGAAAGTTGAAACAAAAATAATACAAGAAACTGCTATGTGGTTTGATACAACAAGTTGGTAGATAAGAAATATTATGTCTTTGATTATGTACACAGAATCTGACATTTACATGGACAGACGGCTATGATACAGTAAATAATAAAAAGGTTAACGTCATCTAGCACCATTATGACTGCTAATTGTTTTTAATTATTGGAATATATTAATAGCAATAATTGATACAGGACAACACATTTCCTGTATAGATTGTAATGTGACAATAACTGTATAAAAAGTGACATGTACACAAACACAAGGGGACATAAATCTTAACACTTCCAACTAATTTATACACTTTTTAAAATTCAAATTTCTGATGTTTGTTTCAGTGCTGAAGATATGCGTGGTTGATTTTACAACAATTTTCTGATATTTAAAAATTACGTAGAAAAAAAAACAAAACAAGAATTTAAAATAATTAAAATTCCTTCAAGCAACCAAAAACTTCAAGAAGGTTAACTCTAGACTGTAATACAGGCAACAGTGGGTAAATAAGCTTGAACAAAACAGCTCAAGTTTTGCAGCACTTAGGGTTGATGTTCCAGCTCCTTTATACATCACCTCTGGATTAAATGTTAGTGTAAATACACAAAATATATAAGGAAAATGCATTTAATTTCTTTATTGCATAAGTGATAGTGAGAATCTATAATTTCAGAAGGTTCTAGCATCAGTTTGAATACAATAGCGGATGATGTTAATAAATGATAAAATAGATAATGACAAAAACAAACCCTGACAGAACTACATTCATTTGCTGCACATAAAATTTATATAAGGAACAGAAATATGTATGTGATTAAGTTCATCTTGTCTGAGAGGCAATTGAGACTATTCCCTGATCACTCTAAAACTACTGGTATAGCTTGATGAAAAGTGACAACAAAAGAATACAAAACATATCATAAAGGCACCGATATATTTTGCTTGTATATCAAAGTTATTTGAGAAGCTCATTTGATTATGCTGGCACACATCTTTTAATGTCTAAACTAGTGACTCAAATTTGGTAAAAATTGTAGTTTCTTTTATTCCAGATAAAAGTTAGATATATCTCAAATAATCTATTCTCTATTTAAAAAAAAAATAACGTAACTCATCAGACATATTTTTTATAACTAAGATTAAAAAAAGGTAATTAACCATTTTAATTTTTATTATAACTAGTATAAAAATAATTAATTGAAATAAACTTTTTGTGTAAAAAATTGAAATAAACTTTCAAGTGCTCTATTTTTGTGAAAAAATGAAATAAAAGCTGTGTTTACAGCCTACCAAGAGAGTGATCGTGGGGTACTGAGATTCATGGCTATATACACAACAATACAATTGACTTTCTTACACTAGGCTCATGCAGTTAAATAAAACAACCTTTGAACTCTACAGTTTTGTTCTCTGGCTTTTCCTGTACAAACTTTGAACCATGCCAGCAGAGATAAAGCTACACCAGTTCAAACCAGAACACACACACTCACTTGCTAGAGGTGGACTAATTCAAACAAGAATAAATTATGCTAATCATGGCCACAGTACTCTGTGAATGTGCATCCGAATTAAATTAAAAATTGTTTTAGTAGTTCAAGAAATTAAAAACTCGTTATCTCCATTTAAATGATAAAAATAATTTACTTGAACAAATTGCAAGCAATGTTAGCATCATGATAAAATTTCATGTTATAAAATTGATATAAAAATGTGTTAAAATATTGTTAAAGGTATCACCGCTATGCTTATGACACTACACTTCAAGCAAGTTGCAGCACCCTCAATTTTACCTCTTCCTACAAGTTTGTTTCGCTTTCTTCAAATTCTTTTTTTTATATAATTTCAGAATTCTTCTTTGACATGACCTTTGAACTCAGCTGACATTTTTTCTGCTTGAATTTCACAAAGTAAAATTTCACAACTCAATTTAGCCTTCTCTAGTTTCCTAGGGTAGATCATCAGTTTTTAGCATTGCAGTAAATAAAAAAACACAGATAGTTTTGCGTTGAATGATTTGAGTTGAAACATCATATTGCTTTAGTTTTGCTACTTCATCCTTTTTAGCTGTCCTCATCTCTATCAAATGTCTGTGCTAAAACACATTCCACCATGTTTTATCAAACAGTGAAGGTTTAACACTCCTACATACCGGGATAAAAACACAATTCTCTCCCCTTACTACTAAAGTTGCAATACATATTTCTGCATATGTAACCTGCAGACAGAATTTTTTTTTCTGCCATTTAAAAAGATATGACATTATTGTCTGTCAAAGTAAGGTGAATCTTTGTTTAAGTCCAAATTATTTAAGAGTTATCTCATCCTGGAGTACGTCTAATGAACTCCGAGAAACCACATCCAAGTTAGCTAGTGCAGCAACTGTTGGACGGAAGATGAGATTGTATCGTGAAGTCACTTTTTTATTTAGGTCATATTTCTGCTCTTTATTGGTTGCAAGAAATCAGCCTCTGAGGATGAAAAATTAAAAAGAATAAAATATTAATATAAAATTTTTTCAAAATGCTTTCTAATTAATATTAATCTCACAAATATTCACTGTACAAACTAACAATATAAGAATCTTACAAATATTTACTGTAAAAACTTACAATATTAGAATATTACAAATATTTACTCTAAACATTACTTACAATATTAGAATCCGACAAATATTTACTCTAAGCATTACTTACAATATTAGAATCTTACAAATATTTACTCTAAACATTACTTACAATATTAGAATCTTACAAATATTTACTCTAAGCATTACTTACAATATTAGAATCTTACAAATATTTACTCTAAACATTACTTACAATATTAGATTACAAATATTTACTCTAAACATTACTTACAATATTAGAATCTTACAAATATTTACTCTAAGCATTACTTACAATATTAGAATCTTACAAATATTTACTCTAAGCATTACTTACAATATTAGAATCTTACAAATATTTACTCTAAGCATTACTTACAATATTAGAATCTTACAAATATTTACTCTAAGCATTACTTACAATATTAGAATCTTACAAATATTTACTCTAAGCATTACTTACAATATTAGAATCTTACAAATATTTACTCTAAGCATTACTTACAATATTAGAATCTTACAAATATTTACTCTAAGCATTACTTACAATATTAGAATCTTACAAATATTTACTCTAAGCATTACTTACAATATTAGAATCTTACAAATATTTACTCTAAGTATTACTTACAATATTAGAATCTTACAAATATTTACTCTAAGCATTACTTACAATATTTTTGCACATAGTTGCCAGGGAAGGTTCCAAACTGGCCTGTCCTGGCTGAGGTCCCCACAAACCAGCCATCATCACATTTCTCCATCACAAACACCTCATCTCCCTCCTTTAGCTCCAGCTCGTCTTCACTCATAGGTCTGTATGCATAGATAGCTCGATGTCTGCTCAATGAAAACAACAGGCTATTATATGTCAGCTCAGCATAAAAATCAACTTCCAGTAACATATTAAGAAACATTACATTTAAAAAAATTAGAATCAGCTTTATTAAAATAATTAGATTTCAGAATTTGAATGCTTTTTTTTTTTTTTAGTAAAATATAAAAAACAGTTTTAGTATTTAGATCAAGTAAGAAAAGTAAAATTTTAAGTAGATATTGAGACAAAAGTATGTTCCCAGCGTACTGACCTTTGTAATGTTAGGTCATCATCCGCTACTTTGTTAGCTCGAGGTTTTCCCAAGGCGGAGCTGCTGGTGGAGATGTCCAGGTTGACACTGGGGAACACAGCGCTGGTGTCTGATGGCCTGGGCCTGTCTTGTGGCCCCCTGCGGCTACTTGGTGGGCTCAGAACCCCCTTCTGGCCATATACCGTGAACTCGTGGGGTGACTTAAGGTCAGCTGGGGACTGGGAGTCGTACTGAAACCTGTTGATGGCCGGTTGAGGCTTGTAGCCGTATGTTGCTTGCATTCCTGGGGAGCGCAATGAAAATGCGCTGGGGGATGGTTGAGGGGGCGGGGTGGGTGCCTCTATACTGACAGGTGAGAGCATTTCTGGTGTTCCTGATGAGTAAACAAGTTGATATCAGTAATATGTGTTGTCTGTTGGCTGCCCCATGATGTTAGATCAGTCAGATATCAAATTATGTCATGACAGGTGGTTGTCAAATTATGTCATGACAGGTGGTTGTCAAATTATGTCATGACAGGTGGTTGTCAAATGAGGTCATGTAAGTGTGTCATCAAATAATGTTATGTTAACTGATATTCAGCATTAAGCCAATCAATAAATGTTCAGATCTAAACCACAACTTCCATGCAGGTGAACGCCCTACCTGTCATAGGTGTGGTTATAACAGAAGGAGCAGGGGTGATGAGAGGGGTTGAGGGTTCTCTAATGATCTCAACATAGCTGAGAGGAAATATGCCTTGACGACCTCCGACCTTTCCCTCTAGCCAGTTGTCATCTACCCTCCGCAGCAGTGTAACAAATTCACCCTGGGGAGAGAAACATTTGAATTGCATTTGGTGTGAAAGTTAAGTTACAACAGCTTTTTTCCAAAATATTCACATCTAAAGTAGTTGATTATTAACTTTAAAAATCTTATTAAAAAAATAATCGGCCTAGAAATCAAATTTAGAAATTTTAAACTGTTATATTTTTATTCTAAAATAAATAAAATCTAGAAAAACAAAATTAAATATGGCCAAACCATACTCATTGTAAAATAATAAGATCTAGAAAAGCAAAAATTAATCTGGCTATATCTTCCTTATTGTAAAATAACTTGAATCTGGAAAAATATTATTTTATCTGGCCATACCTTTCTCAGTGATAACTCCACACTTGACTGTCCAGTAAAGTTATATTTAGCTCTACCTTGACCTTCAGCATCAAGGGCAGCTACTCTTGCTGCTTCAATTGACGTAATGACCTAGATAAAAAATAACAAACATTTAAAAAAGAATCCTAAAACTATCATCAACAGTAAAACACTTAAGTTGTCTCCCAATACTAGACCATTTATATTGTGCTTACAACCAGCTTCATTATTTTGTAAAAACTTCTTTCTTTTTTTAAATAATAAAACAAACCATAACAAGATAAGACTGTCTACCTCTACATAGTTGGCAGGGAAAATGCCATTTAAAAAAACCATAACAAGATAAGACTGTCTACCTCTACATAGTTGGCAGGGAAAATGCCATTTAAAAAAACCATAACAAGATAAGACTGTCTACCTCTACATAGTTGGCAGGGAAAATGCCATTAAAAAAACCATAACAAGATAAGACTGTCTACCTCTACATAGTTGGCAGGGAAAATGCCATTTAAAAAAACCATAACAAGATAAGACTGTCTACCTCTACATAGTTGGCAGGGAAAATGCCTGCCTGGCCGTGGTGTTCTCCTTCAAACCAGTTTTTGTCAATCTGCCTCAGTAGGTACAACACATCCCCTTTTCTGAAGGAGAGTTCCCTAAGGTAAAGAAATTTTAAAAAAAATGATCAGGATAAACAAAATCTCAGTCAGACATCAGGAAATCATGATATAAATACATTATTTATTTCAGATTTATTTTATGCTCTGTATGTATGATGGGAATTTTATTACATTTTAAAATAATAATTCCTTGGAAAACACAATTTTTTTTTACAGGAAGCTCAAGAAATAAAACAAATGATGCTTGGAAGTCTTCCAAAAAAAATATTTATTAAACAAACATTCTGAAAACCAGGTTGATCTCAATGTTTTCCCACAAGGATTGTGAATGACTTGAATCAAATCTAAACATTAGAAACATGATTTCCCTGGTGATAAAATTAACTGTACCATTATAAGTTGTACAAAAAGCTGAGAGAGTTACCTTGGGTTCTGGGCAGTAAAGTTGTAGAGGGCCTTGGCCTTGCCCTGTATCTGGAACCCTCGTCGCCTCTCAGGGGGAACACTGAGTGTGGTTGTAAGTTTGCTGGTCTGTAGGTTGGGTGAGCGCTGCTGGGCTGGTGACAGCGTCTGCCGCCTCTGGTCTGGCACCTCCTCAAAGCGGTTGGGTGAAATGGGGGATTTTTGACTTGGCCTTAGAGAATAGAAAAAAATCCTGGGTGAGATGGGGGATTTTTGACTCAGCCTTAGAGATCAGAAAAAAATCCTGGGTGAAATGGGGGATTTTTGACTCAGCCTTAAAAGAACAGAAAAAAATCCTGGGTGAAATGGGGGATTTTGGACTCGGCCTTAAAAGAGCAGAAAAAAATCCTGGGTGAAATGGGGGATATTTGACTCGGCCTTAAAAGAAAAAATACCTGGGTGAAATGGAATTTTTGACTCGGCCTTAAAAGAACAGAAAAAAATCCTGGGTGAAATGGGGGATTTTTGACTCGGCCTTAAAAGTATAGAAAAAATACCTGGGTGAAATGGAATTTTTGACTCGGCCTTAAAAGAACAGAAAAAAATCCTGGGTGAAATGGGGGATTTATTACTTGATTTATGTGACTTGTCAAGCAGATGAAAGGTTTAAAACTAAATTAATTGCTTGTACACACACACCATGCAATTTATAATAAACAACTTGTAATTAGATAGATAACTACACTTTTAGCTAGATTATAAACATGGTAAAATCAATATTGGAATACTGCCTTTCAAATAATTCCATAATAATATAATGTGCTGAAAGTAATAGGATGTAACACCCTGCCAGTTGGGAGACTATTATATTGCTCTTTTCTATACATTGAAATGCTTATCCCAGATTTTTTATTCACTATAATCAAAAATAACTAATTTTGCAAAATGTTTTTTTCAAAATATATTTTCGTGTACGTTCTTGTAACGTGGAATAAAATAGAAGTAAATTATTTCATTAGTAGGCCTATATGAAACATTTTCAGTTATTATCATTTATTTTTATATTATAAAAATCTATATCTTATATTTTTTGAAAAAAATACATTCCTAATACCACCCCCCCCCCCTCACATTAGCTTGCACCTATCATTTCATGGTTCACACTTAAATGTTAAGCAGTCAGTATGGGGTGGCCTGTACATACGTGAAAAAGTCGTGATGTCGTCTAGCAGATTCCTTCTCAGCATCAAGCTGCACCCGTTTCTTTCTCTCCTCCTCATAAAGCTCCTCCTGTGTCAGAAAATAGTTTCTTGTAACTCATAGTTTACACACCAAGTCAATGCTATTTTCTTCATAAACATTCTTTAAATTTGATATGGAATTTTTAAAATTTCAAAACCAGAAGAGTTAAAAATTTAGAATGTCAATTGTAAAAGGTTAGAGTATAATCTACAGATTTAGTTGGCAGGCTTAGTTTGTTACAAATTAAAGTTGAATATTTCTAATTTTCCTAAACTCGCATACAACCCATCAGCCATGTATGCCGTAAGGTCCCAAAGAGAAACTATTATCTAAATTTGAGGCAACATTTGTTTACCAGTCTCTTCTTCCTATAAGCTTCATCTTCCTCTTTCCTTTTCTTCTCTTTCTCATCAACTGGTAGACTTTTACGAATGACGTCTGAAGTTTGATGTCGAAAATCTGGTTTACACAAACAAATATTCATAAGTTTCCAAAAAAATTTTCTTTTCTTTTTTATCATCATATTTATGAAGGTGAAAATAAAATAAAAGCATTATGAAGCCAATAAAGCAGTAAAAATTCATATAGAAATTTAAAAATGAGGAATCAAATAAAGATAATTTATATTCTATTTAAATTTCTAAACAAAATTATAAATTACTTTCATAAACCCTTGAGTTAATTTTACTTCTAAAATGTTCCAGTATTTTAGAATTTGAACCATTTCAGTACCATTACAATATGCAACGAACCACGTCCAACATCCCATTAGTACAAAAATCTAAACATTGAATGTCTATTTCTCAATGCTTTGTTTTATGTGTAAACAGCAGTTTTTTATTATATAAACTCAAGTAAACAGTAGCATTTTTTTTTAAGAATTAGCAAACTGTTCTGTGTATTTTAAATGGTCTTGAATAAATAAATAAATATAAGCAAATTCAGAGAAATGTTGATTCACTTTTAGCAAACTTATCTTTAGATAGTAAAAATCACTGAGTCAGATGCATAATACATTATTTAAAAAGCTCAATAAAAAAACTGAAAATTCTAAAAAAAAAAAGAAAACAAACTATAAAAGAATTTTTCAAGCTTCAAGAAAATAATAATTATAAATAATATTTGAAAATAATAATTTTTTAATTTTAAGGTTATGGTTGTTTGTTAAGAAAATAGAGTGGAATAAACCAACTAGATTAAACAGATGGATTCTAGGATTGTAATGATTTCCAGTTGCACCCCTTGCTTTGTTCCTTTGTTGATTAGGGTCAAATACAATAATTAATTAAAACACAAAAACTGTATAACTTTACATGAATCTATGTACAACGGAACACATGATTAGCATATGCTGACACCTCATGCTAATGAATATTTATAACATTTTTTTTTATAAAAGAACATTTAAAAAACATTTAAATGAATTTTTTTAAACTGTTAATAATAACAGCTTTACCAACATGTAACTAACGAAGCGGTTACTAAATAGATTATGCCGTTATCCTTGATTACAATAAAGATAGATGGAAGTTTTTAAATGACTGGTGATGCTGGGAAAGGGTGGTACATGCTAATATTGAAAGGTCAAAGTTAAAATAATTGAGGTAGCAGAAGATTATTAACAAGCATCAAAGGTTAAAACAAGGTGCATTCATAACATTAAAAGCCAAACAACAAAACTGTAGCTACAGTAGCTGAAGCTGCAACAGTAGCAAGCAAACCCAACACTCTACAGTTACTGTGGCGGAGATGTTATTCCAAGTTTTATCTGTACTGGGTACCTTTAGGTGCGGAGCTTGGGGGTGGCGATTTGACGCCAAGCTGCTCAGCAGCAGACACACGGCTGGGCTGGCGCCAGCTCTCCAACATTGAAGTTCCATTAGCTCGAGTCTGTCTCTTAGGGGGTGACGGCACCTGGGGTTGGTCTGAGCTTTTAGCGCCACCGTAAAGATTTTCATAGCTTCCAATTAACCCTTTAGCCCCTGCGTAAGTTAGAGGGGGTGAGAGATTCTGCTTGCTGTCCACCAGAGAGGGTGTACTTGCATAACGAGAGAACTGGCTGTCTTTAGTTTGACCTGAACTGCTGGTTCTCAGATTGTCTTTACTGGCTGATGCTCTAGGAAACTTCTGGGAGGTGTTGGTGCTCCATGAGCTGTTGTTGGTTGGCGGGGACTGCAGTGCTGAATTGGAGCTGTAGGTTGTTTTTTCTTTGGGAGAACTGTGCCCTCCGACAAGAATCTTGTCAGTTTTTCTGTCTAGAGTGGAAGGGGACTTCAGGGGGGATTTGAGGGAGGGTTGGGAGGCTGACAAGTGGGAGGAGATGGAGTAGGCTTGGGTGGAGGCGTCTGAGGGAGGGGGAGGTAGGCCTGGAGGTTGCTGTTGGTCATTTTCTAAAAGACAGAATCAAGCATGCAAGCTGGTGAAACATGGTGGCAAACAAAAAAAAAGGCACAAAATAAATAAAAGGTGTAAAGACCATTTGAACTTTGACCCTACTAAAAATAGCAGAACACAAGTGATAACGCACACATTATTACAGCAACAAAAAATAAGAATTGACAGACTTGAGATAATTTCATTGCGAACAAACAAAATAAATAATAAAATATAATAATCTACAATTAATTATTATTTCTGTTTGAAAATACTTAAAGCACATAATAGGAAAGAACAAGAAAGGACCATAAAAATCTGGCAAACATTCTTTTACCACAAGATAAGGGGGATAAGCAGAGAGAAAAATGTTATAAAGAAAAGTTCAAACCTACGAGTACATTGTGATGTTAGAGAGTACACTGAAACTACTTGAACTGAACTAACATGAAGCTAGTATAGGATTTCTTGGGGTTAGTTATAAAATTAAAAGCAATGTGGGTTTTAACTTTTTCATGGTGATAGAATAGATGTAACAAACAAAATTATAACTTCAACAAAATGTGAGGTAATTATATGGTCAAAAACAATTGCCAACTTTTGTATAGCGTGCATGTGTGTGAAGCATTTTTAATTTTTTGAGATTATGATGAATTAAAGAACACATGATTACATGAACAACACAGTTGAGGGTAAATATTTAAACAACAAATTGAATATATATGAAACAATATTTCCAGCTGCAAACAGAGATACACATACCTTGCTCATGTACCCACACTGACACAAGTTGAGATTTGCCTGGGATTTTCTCAGACTGATTGTTCGGTTGTGTCCCTTGGTTTATCACAACAGGATTACCTGCCTTTGGTAAAGGCCTATTTTCATTGATTTTTCTAAAAGAATTCTCCCCATTCTTAATGTTTTTATTGTTTTGCAGATCATTGAATCTGTTGTTGCTCCTGTACTGGTTGGTGATATGTACACCAGGTGTCTTGTCCTGTATAGCACCAGCTTGATGTAACGCTTCACTGGTTTTATCCTGCGCCAACCTGAAACTGGTTGCCCGGTGTTGCCTGGGTTCTGGGAACAGTGTGGTGTAGGGTGGTGGGGGTCTGTGTGGGTGGGTTGCTGTCTCTTTTCTGGGTGGCTCCGTGCCTTGGCCCTGGCTCAGTTTCATGTCGTCTGTTTGTGAAGTTGAGCCAACAGTGAACTTGACGCTGCTTGTGTTTTCACTGGCGTCTTTTGGACCCGAAAATTTTGTACCACTCACCCTGGCCAACCCCTTCCACTCTGACCCTATGTGATCAAAATATTCCAGCGTCATTTTACTCACACTGGATGGTCTGTGATTTTGTTTCCGTGGTACGTCCAACTTCCTCCCCTCCCGTACACCCTCCACCTCCTTGTATATGTCATCTGGTGGGATATATGGGTCATAGTGAGGTGCTGGGTACTGCTTTATGTCTGAGTTTGTCTCACCCAATCGCGTAGACCTAAAATCTTGTACACCATATTCCCTTTTCTTGTCTATTAGTTTATTGTCTGTAACATTTTCTGAAGATTTTACACTTTGTGAAGATGTCACATTGTGTGAAGATGTGACATTTAATGAAGAAGTTGGTCTTGAGAAAAGTTCATTTTCAGATTTGTGAAGTGGAGAGCCTTTGCTGTACATCTTGCTTTCACTCCTGTTGTCCTCAAACTGTTTCCTGATGTCTGCTAGGTTTCCAGACACAGTGCGAGGCACCACTGTTACAGGGCTCCTGTCAAATTTGGCACCCCCACGCTCAGACAAATCAGGAGCAGACTTAGCTCGAGCTAAAGGCTTCATCAAGTCAGAGCTGTGTGGTGACTGCTGCTCAAAGACATTCTTGAGCTGCATGACTGAAGGCTTGGTCTTTGAGGCTGATCGGTGGCTACCTCCAACACTGGACTGGGGGGTGCTAGGCTTGGAGTTGCTAGGCAACGTGTTCATTTTACTTTCAAACTTGATTGGTTGATATTTATAAACATGAGCCTGAACTGGGTCTCTGAGTTCACTGCTGCTGGTTGGGTTGGGCTGAAAGTTTTCTGAGGCTGCTCTGGGAGAATCAGCATTGACCTTGTCATACTCACTGTGGTTGATGATGAACGTTCCTGTGCTGCCATCTGACGAATACGATGCACTGGGGGAACTATCCGCCTCCTGATGGTGATTTATGTCACTGACCCCTGTCCACTTTCTCAACTGACCATATTGATTTCTATAAGATGCTTGTTGGTCGGCTGAATGTTTTTCTTGAGAATTTAAATGAGCTATATTTCCTGTTTTGTTGTCTACTGGGTGGTGGAAAGTCGACGCCCCCTGATTAGAAACATTTGCCCTTTCATCCCTTGAAATGTTGGCAGAGCTGCTGTTATATTTTCTGGGCAATGTCTTTGGGGGTTGATGATTGACGTGTTGTTCAGTGTAGGAGATGCTGGGTGCTTCTGATGAATGCGGGACTCTGGGGTGAGGGACTGGTTTTATAAAGCCACCCCCAACACTGGAGGGTTCTGGGATCTTCATACGGGGCAACACAGGGTTGGCAAACTCGTTGTTTTCAGCCAGACCTCGCAGGTTGGTCACTTTAAATGTAGCTTTGTCGGGCTTTGTTCCAGTGTTTGGTTGCCTGTTGTCATGTGATAAAGGTTTTGTTTCAATGATTGGTTGTCTCTGGTCATGTGATACTGGTTTTGCTTCAATGATTGGTTGTCTCTGGTCATGTGATACTGGTTTTGCTTCAATGATTGGTTGTCTCTGGTCATGTGATAAAGGTTTTGTTTCAATGATTGGTTGTCGCTGATCACGTGATACTGGCTTTGCTTCAATGATTGGTTGTCTCTGGTCATGTGATAAAGGTTTTGTTCCCATATATGGTTGCCTGTTGTCAGGTGAATGGTACTTTATGCCAGCATTGTAAACAGTTGGACCTTCAGTTTTTTCTTTTAAAGAACCAACAGAAGGTTTATTTGCAATGGACTTATCTACTAAGACAATGTCTGGCATGTTTTCTTTCTTTAAAATCGGGGCTGGCTCCCGTTCTAGGTGAGAAGCTTTTCTCGAGATTTCAGATCTCCAATCAGATATTTTGCTTGTACCTAAACTTCCATTTTCTGAAGCTTGGTGAGTAGAGTTGATGTGATCAGGTAAGGGCTGATCTTTCTGTTTTATGTCTGGATTGTTGTAGCGTGACCTCTGATAAGAAGTTACAGATGGGGTACCTGGTGTATCATATCCAGCTGTATCAGCTTTATGAAAACTTTGTGTTGTCTGGGCATTCGTGGAAGTTACGGTACTGCTTGCAACACGGAGTGGTCGGCTAGGCAAGGGCTCTGGCTCAGTCACCAACGCCTCTGCATGAAAGTCTGGCACTGATCTTGACTGCCCCATCAGCTCGCTGGGGTACGCATTGCGGAATCTAAAATCTGTGTCAGTGATGGAGGTGTAGGGCTGGAACCCCGCAGACTCCGGGTCGTTGACGTAGCTGTGCAGGTAGCCTTTCCTGGCCATCCGCTCACGTCTGGCCCTGACCAGCAGCTCCTCGTACTGGCTGATGTCTGGACTCTGGTACCTCCCAGCGCGCGTCTCTGTCACCTCACCTTTAGGAGCTGATGTGCTATTCTGGCTGGTTCGCGGTTTCCAAGTAAACCTTGCAGTAGATGCGTCGTCTGAGTTGTTGGTTTTTTCAGAACTGTCGCTGGAATATTTTCTGGGCTGGTTGGCCTCAAGATGTTTAGCAAAGATGTCCTTTGATTGTGTTCTTCCCTTGTACTCTGTATCTGGATCTTCAGGCGGAGTTTCCTCCAGTACACTTGACCGTTGACCTTTACCCCCATCTCCCATAGAACTGGAACTAGGCGCAGACACGTGAGTCTCATACCCAGAAATGTGACGTTTCTTGGGATCCACTGGCTCAGGCTTGTCCTTGTAGGAACTGGTAAACTCGTCTTTTAATGTGAGCTCTGATCCAAAGAAAGTATCTTTAGAAGAGCTGGATCTCATTAGAGTTCCAGAAGTCGGTGCTATCTGCAGGGGTCCTCCTTGATGTGGAGCTGATGACGACCTGATATGAAGGCCATCATCCTCCAGATATTTTGTATCTTTCAGATGCTCAACTTTAATCTCATAGATGTTGGTCCCTTCTCTGGGTGGAGCAACGTGTTCCTGAACACCCGGATGTGCTGTAGCAGGACGACGGGTTCTTGAACTCAGGGCATCGCTGTAAGACGGCAGGGTTTCTAGAGAGGAAGCAACCAGCAGCCCTTCCTCATCACTCAGACTTTCAGTTTTAAATTGTCTGCCCCTGCTCAAGTCGAGGGACGACTGAGAGACCTCGAGGGGCGAAGAGTTCCTGGTGCTCCGTGATGAGATGTCTGGGGTTGAAGCCGAGAGCTTCTTGAGCTCTGGGTCAAATGTTTTCTTCAAGGTTTGAACACTGGCTTTCACGTGCTTCTCGTAGGGGTTTTCCCTGGGCCCAATGTGGGTGCCATAAATAGGAATCTGCCTGGCTTCCTTTTCTGCCTTCTTTTTGATGTCTATGTACGACTGCTGCGTGTAGGACCTGTCCAAGCTCCCCACTGAAGTTGTGGGAGAACTCCAGTTCTTGGGCGAGTTCTTCTTGTCATAGATGGAGTAGAGCTCTCCAAATGATTTACATCTCTTCATATCATTACCCACCAGCGACGGAGCTTTCTTGTGATGAGGTGTGGTGGTTTCCCCTGTGCTACTTAGAGCATGCTGGTACATGTTCAGCCTCTCTCTGACCCCAGCAGACTTGCTCAGATCCTTGTCCTTGTCCCGTCTCCACTGCACCTCACTCATGTTGGACGCGTTGAAGAAAAATTCTTTGTTATTCTGAGCTGACTGGAGTTCTGTGTACATCTCCTGAATGTCTTTAGGAGAAGCAGCGACGTCTTGACTCTCGAAGCTGTCTTTTCTCTGTGGAGTCTTTTCGTCAAGTTGAGCCAGGCGTCCAAGGGCATCAAAATTTTTCTGCAACTTGAGAAATTTCTCGGATCTCCCTGAAGAATACAGAATTCCTGCAGCGTATGACTGGTATGTATGAGGGTCAAGACGAGATGACCTTTCACTGGTGACACTGCATGAGCCTCTGTTGGATGAGGAGTCTTTGCTGGACGCCCTAAAGTACGGTGCTGTGTCTGAACGTTTAAGTATATGCACTATAGGCAGACCTTCCTCGTCGTAACTCACCAGCGGGGGTTGGATAGATCTTCTAGGAGAGCCACTGGGGCTGGTGGAGCTTTTTATGGCTTCTTTAGTCAGCTCTTCAAATGGAGAAAGTACTTTCTGCTGCTCAAGAGGTTCAGCACCTGATTCACTTTGGGCACTGTGTGGACCTACAGCTGAGAAGCTTGTCACTTCCTCTGAGAAATCCTCTTCAGCAATGTCTCCAAACTGCTGAGAACTGGTGTACAGCCCAAATGTATTGGCGCCAATCTCACCAGCACCTAAGTGAGATGCGTCAGGCTGGTAGTTGAACCTGTCGTGGTATGTGGCCTCAACATAATCCAAGTGGTATTCCTCCTCGTGGGAATCTCCGGAATCAAAGTCTTCCTCAGAGTTGCTGCTCTCCTCTGGGTAGCTCTCCTGGTTGGTGGCCAGGAACGTATCATAAGCAGACGTCTGCCATGTTGGTCTAGCCATACTTAGTGGGCTTTGGCTCAACTATTTCACTCATCACACAAATTCACATCTTCAACATGTGATCCCATCAAATCGAATCACTGTATGAATTAGTATCACAACATGGAGTAAAGATTATCCAATGTGAAGAAATATCCGTGCTATAAAACCACACACCGTGACTTCATTAACCTCAAGGAAATGAATACTAGCAGGTCTAAAACACTGCCACACCCTCTGGCTTGGTCAATACAGTTCAACAGCTGTGCACTGATCCATCAAACTGCATGATTAATTCTCATTCATATGCAAATAGTTGCCAGCTTAACAGATCAATGAAATATTTATACAAACGTTCCCAGAATGTACAACTGTTCAATCACCAGCCACACTACTCCAACCTTCACTGGCTATTTATCTAGCTAGTTACTGTAACACACCCCAGTGTTACTGTGGCACATTCCTCAGTGCTAATGGCAGTGTGGCATTACCAGCAACTCAGTCATTAGTGGCCAGCAATTAATCCACAACCCTCTCGTGTTTACGAGTGTAAACAAAACCAGATGGCGTGTAAGGGATCAATACATCTATTTGGTTCATGCTTGGTTGTCTCCCTTTCTTTGTAGCTACTCAACTGGATCTATTTCTTATTGCTTCCCTTGAATGACAGCTGCTTGGCGAATAGGTGAGCTGAAACTAGGCTCCTCCCTTTTTAGATAAGATAAGAGAGGGATTATGATAAGTCTATCAGAGTAATCTCCCTTGGACAAACTGTTGCTACTTAGTTGAGTCAGTCAATGGGCAGGTACAGGTGTGTTTGTTTACCTGAACTACTCATGCATGTCTGCTGATATATGTACAACCTAGGACACAACTTGAGGAAGTGGGTTCAAATCCTTCTTGGAATAACTTTCAAAACCAGATTTCCAGAGTCAGACAGAAAGTGTATGAAGCCACTGATGTAAGCACTCTGTGCTATCAAACAGCTGCCACTACTAGGTCTAAGAATTTTTTAGCTTGTGTCTTCACCAATTATTTAATGACACATGATGATACTAGAAGCATGCGTTAATGACATGCAGACTGAAAAAAAAGAAAAAAATAAGTGACATTTAGAAGAAGTAAAATATGTTTGTTTTTAATAGAATATTTACAAAAAATTTTTCTCAAAATACAAACACCAGACCCTCTTATAATATTTTGCTAGTAAAAAGAGAAAAAAAATCTTACAAATATTGTTCAAATTGAACTTGTGTTTTCAAATACAAATTTTTAAACTCCTGTTTATTTGAACTAAAAATAGAACCAAACTTAAGTATACATGGCTACAAAAAAAAAGTGCAACTAAAAATACAGAAATAAAACAAGGCGTAGTACTACTTACATTGGTAACAATAGTCCGATAATCCCATGGGAAACAAAATGGAAGAAGATGAAGCAGGCACACTCAGCGCAGATGGACAACAAAAATGTGTGGAGCCTAAGGCCTGCTTAAGGCACTAAAGGCCTGCTTAAGGCACGTGACTAATGGAAGTGGATTCAAATAATTCAAACACAAAATTTCCCCTCTAGATTGCGAGGGTGACTGATGTGATTTCATGCCTCAGATGTTGCAGGGGTTGGATTAAGGAATCAATACACGGCAACATCAATACAGTGAGTACTACACAGTTGTGGAGTTTTTACCTCAAGGTAGTGAGTCACTACACATATGAAATGATGTGTGTAACATCACATATCATGTCACTACATATCAAATGATGTGTGTAACATCAGTTAAACTGGTTGTCTGATGTCTGTGTCTTAACACTAAGGTATTGCCTGAATCTAAGTTCAAGGGACTTTTCCATAAAACTTCAAACCTATTAAATACCTGTATTTTAGGAATTCTCGTTTTAAAATGAAATGTTTTGATTATTAATATAATTGAACAACTAAGTTTATTACATTTATATAGATTTTTTAAATTTTAGAATGAATAACAAGTTAATTTTTATTTTACTTTTCCTAACTATTATTAACACAAAATATAATATATTAGTTAATGATACAAATGAAAACACAGATGTAAATATGATAATTGTGTTTCTACAAAAGTTGGCAAATGTTTGAACAATTTTATTAAGTATAATCTGTAACTAAAGACCACCAATGAAGTATTTGATTTGGTTTAGTTTACATGGGTGAATAAAAAACTGAGACCAGATAAAAAGAAGAAAAGAATTCCCTACACATTGTGAGAGTACGAGTACTGACATGAAATGGCATGCAATGCAAAAGATTTCCACCTGACATTTTACATCAACAGGGAAACATTGGGTACAAGAACATTTTGACAAAAAATAGGGCTGTTAAATTTATATCTAAAAAGACATGTGCTATTGTAGTGATAGGACCTATATTACAGCCAGTTGGTTTTAATGTTTTAATTCTACTTAATTAAAGAGCTTGATATATTTTTATACATTTGGAAATCTTTTGCAAAAAAATAAAATAAAATATAACAACAAATAGAAAGAAGAAGAATACCAAGGTGGTGAACACAAAATAGCCATTGAGTTACATTCTAAAAATAGCACTCCAATGCTAAATAACACAAACCTCAATTTAAAAAATAATAATTTCAGAGCCACATAGGAAGTAATTTAGCATTGGACAGAATCTTGATGAGAGTTAATATGGGATATTTAAAAAGTGGGAGATAAGCTTTACACTGCAACTAAAAATAAAACGAAACAAAACATTGAGCAGGAGTTGACCTACTTTTTGTTTTCTCAGGGGCAGGTTTCTGGAGGCCCCGGATGGGTATCTCCCCTCCATGGACGATCTTCTTGTACTTGTCGGAGGCAGGGATGTTGTCAGTTTCATCATAGCTGGACGCCCGCTCGGATGCTGTCCCCTTGTAGTTCTCAGAACTGAAAATAATAACGTTTTGTAAATAATCACATCAAAATAAAAAGTTTGAAAAAAAAAAAACAGAAGTGAAAAGTTAAGTTACATAGCAGACTAGACTATTGAGTGTTCTCCCCTACATTGTTATCTCAAAATTATCTCCCTTTAATCTAATTTAAAGGCTACTTTAATTTAAAAATAACTCAAATGAAGACATTTTCCGTGTAACAATGTACTAGGCTGAAACAAAATCCAAGTAAATTGAGATTTTGTATGGGGTTACTAGACCTGTCACTCAAATAGGTTTACATCCCCCCTCCCTCCCCTGTACATTGTGTTTGCTGCTGTGACGTTTTGTGGGTTGCTAACAACATGAGTGGGTTGAGGGACAGCCCACCCATACAACTCCATGGTTTTGTTTACCAACAACCAGACCCCCCCCCCCCCTCCCCCGACCAAACAACAAGTTCCGCCATGACACCTGTAATCTAGAAGACAAAAACCAGCGTCTCGAGTTAACTGTTGACAGCTTTGATAAACGGCGGGTGGTAATCAAAGAACGACAACTCCCGTGTTTTTCCACATCAAGGGACTGTACCTCAGACCTAGTGTTGTGTAAAGGCAATGTTGTGCAAGCGATGTGGAGGATTAACCAATGAAATCAATCGATACAAGTAGAACTGACCACCCGACAGATGGGAGAGATACATCATAGCGTCATATGTTCATACAACATATTGTGTAGAGTATTATTCTTTTATACACTAAGTATAGATTTTTTTTCAGAATTAGACCTCGAGCTATTGCATAGCAATTGTGATTTTGTCAACTCAGTTCTGTAGTCGTGCTTTAATGGCCTATAGAAAATCGAGTGGCCTACAGATTAGACAAAAAAAAAGCCACCCCCCCCCCCCACACACAAACATCCCAAGTTACGCTAGCTAACGTGAAAAGATGTTCAATATTAGAATACAAATGACAAAAGAGGAAAGATTATGAAACAATGATGTTTTAATTAGGCGTGGAATCTCGACTATAACACAGACGCTCATGAACGGCCGTTAAAACTAATATAGTAACTAGACCAGGGGCGTAGCGAGGGGGGGGGGGGGTTCGGACCGCACCGGGTGACACCATTTAGGGGGGTGGCACCAAGGCAAAAAATAGCAAAATATATAGAGAAAAACTTGAAGGGGGGTGCAAATCAAAAGTTTGAGGGGGGGGGGGGTGTGCAAATCGAAATCTTGAAAGTTTGTCCCCGGGAAGGGTCGCTACGCCTCTGGGGGGTGACACCATTAAGTGCCGCACCGGGGGACACCCGACCTCGCTACGCCACTGAACTAGACTATGACGAAAAATAACATGTACGGTAGTTAAAGTATGTGATAACTAAAGTAATAGATCGGCGGAGTAACTAGAATGAAAACATAGGCCTACTTTTGCAACAAAATACATACGTTCGTTACATATGTGGTAACTAGACAATACATACGTTCGTTACATATGTGGTAGCTAGACTCAATACATACGGCTAGTACATATGTGGTAACTTGATACATACAGCTGGTTCATATGTGGTAAATAGACAATACATATGGCCGTTACATATGTGGTAACTAGACAATACATACGCTGGTACATATGTGGTAATTAGACAACACATACGCTGGTACATATGTGGTAACTAGACAATACATACGCTGGTACATATGTGGCAACTAGACAATACATACGCTGGTTCATATGTGGTAACTAGACAACACATACGCTGGTACATATGTGGTAACTAGACAACACATACGCTTGTACATATGTGGTAACTAGACAATACATACGGCTGGTACATATGTGGTAACTAGACAATACATACGGCTGGTACATATGTGGTAACTAGACAATACATACGGCCGTTACATATGTGGTAACTAGACAATACATACGGCTGGTACATATGTGGTAACTAGACAATACATACGCTGGTACATATGTGGTAACTAGACAATACATACGGCTGGTACATATGTGGTATCTAGACAATACATACGGCTGGTACATATGTGGTAACTAGACAATACATACGGCTGGTACATGTAACATATGTGGTAACAAGACAATACATACGCGGGGGTGTGGCCGTTCTGATGGAAGCCACCCTCCCTGTAGAGTGCCAGAACCATCTGGTTCATCCTGTCGTCTGCTGTCGTCCAACACGGCGCTCATCAAACCGTCATCTCTCCCCACTCAACCACAGCTGATTAGATAATCCTAATCTGGCCCCCATGACGTCACACGTGATTATCTAACGCGGCAGTCCACTACCACCCAGCTGACGTCATCGTACCAAGGTCCAGGGGTTGCCCAACGTACCACGTGACTTTAATCTCACAACAACAGCTGAGTGAATCCAACCGCGACTGGTACATCCATAAACACCACTTCCCATGTACAACACACACCAACACCTGCCACCAAAACACACTGGTAATCTGACACTCCCAATCCAAGAATGATCAGGTACTCTTAAGAATTCCAGATTAGTTCATAGACTACATAATCCCTTTAGGCCACAGTACTCTGCCGCTTTTTTGTGTTAATAAACACGTGTAGAAAACAGCTCAAGTGTGACGAGAACCCACCAGTCAAGATGAAATATTGGAAACGTGTGTTCAACTACGGTCCAGGTTTAACACATTATTTGAACGCCATTTCATAGACGCTAGCTGCAGGCGTTGAGTGAACTAAACAAGTAGAGATACAAATCAGTCACGTGACGACCGTCAGCATCTGGCACGTGTGTGTAGCTACACGGCCACCTCACAGTGAAAACATTGTGTAAGCTTGCAGATGTAAACACAGAACTCATACGCACAGCAGACGCCGGCCGCTAGGTGGGTGTGTCTGTGACCCACATCAGTCCACCAGGCCAGCAATCGACAACATTAAAAACTTGAAATAAAAAACAAACGGCTATCACAGCGTTTATAAGTAGTTACAACTATTATTACTCCACTTGGCCAGAAAAAATTATTTCGTCGTCAGAATTTACACAAAAAAGTGCGAGTATAAATCAACATCACTACACTAGATAGTAGATGTGAAGATGTGTAACAATGAAATCAATACCGGAAACATCGCGCAACTAAAAAACTTGGAGCAGAAGATCGCACACGAAACAAGGAGCGAACACCACAGCGCGTACCCACGCCACTCGTCAACTCACGCGCTCTCAGGAGTTTATACCGCCGCGCGGTCAAGGCCGTTCATCACTTCCTTTGTCGCACCCGCGCGTGCAATGTGTTTCTAAAAATAGCCGTCCTTAATTGAAGCTTCTTAACCACTGACGCTACGAGGTTTCATTTTAATTTTAGACTGGATGAATCGCTAAATAGGCGGGATACACATTTTAAACTGCTAAAACTGATGTAAGGCGGGCTGCAAAGTATAGGCCTACATGGCTGTAGGTCTATAACCCATCAATTATATATCCATCCAAAATACCGAACAATAGTTGACTGACATAAAACCGGCCGCCAACGAAATAAAAAATAAAAAGACTGAAGTGTGCACATTTATACGACACATGAAAACACTTAAGAAATCTGGTCACAGCAAAAGACGAGGATATAAAACAGAATACAACCGTCTGCTGACGTCATAAGTACCTAGGCCTAACGCCTCCCCACCCCGACGTGACGTACCGCCGTACGATCTGCCAATCAAACAGCGCACTTTAGCGGGTGCTCTAATGAATGAAACACCTATCACAATTCATTCTTTGTGTGTGTAACAAACCTAAAAGATTTTTAACACTATCAACACATAACAGAAGCGAGGGGAAGTAATCATTAGAAGGGCAACAACTCTTAGTTCAGATTTTAAATGTGCTGAACAAACGTTTACAATGGAGGAAAAGTGATGAGTTATTGTGTTTTAACGCGAATCATAAACAATATTTCTTTGTTTCAATTATCATCATTAAAAAACATCAACAACGTGAAATGATATCTGCGTACCGATATACAAAGATGCTATCTGAATCTCCCCTTCCCAATTCAATTATAACCTTTCTAAAAAAAACCCACTGAAAATCGCCCAGTAATGAGCATCAATTAAAAGAATTGTTTTCTCAAAACTGAGACAAAGATTTAAAAAATCGCTCCGTTGATATGAAGATTGCCAGATAATTTGTTTCTTCGCAAGCCAAATAAATCAGGATATATCCAGACAATCATCCGTAAATCTAATGCCAGCCTTTTGTTATTTCCCACCCCATATAACAGTCAGTAAAAATTAATGATACCCAGGCTATCACAGACGTGCATGCAGATAACTCAAACCAACGTTTTAATCAACCCCTAGCGCCAGATTTTTGCGACCACAAGGAGCTCATTCAACCAACTCTGGCACCCGCCACTGGGGTGGAATGTTGCCAGGTAAATAAAACTGTCCAATTTAAAACACAGTTTGACAAGAGAAGCGCCCTCTGTTCATTAATTTAGTGCACGAGTCGGCTGATTTATCTGGCACATCTGCTATCATTTCATTTTATTTTTGTTGCAGAAAAACATGCCTAGAAATAACTTTCCCAGAAATACAGGCGTCATACATTAAAATCTTGGCCAAGTGTAATTAAAGTATAAGTGGGGGAAAAGTAAATCTTGCAGAGTGGCTGACAGAAAAGTGCTGCTGTTGCGGCGGTCGGGAAGGGGGAGGGGGGTGTCGGAGAGAAGCGCAGACAGCAGGGTGTTGCTACATGTAGTCGGGTTGCTGCCTAATCCCCGACATTAATCCGTCTCGTTTAAGCTCCGAAATAATCCCTTGATGACTTGATGCAGAGGTTAAAAAAAAAGACGTCTACCTGGCTAACGGCAGCGTTGTTTATGTCGGGGTGGGGTGAGGCAGGGGGGGGGGGGGAGGACATTAACATAATGTGTTGTTACGCTTGTTGTTTAACAAAGAGGTCAGAGTCGGTGCTGGCCTGTGTTGTCTGACTGTGATTTCCTTCAAGTAATAAAATCTACGTAAATATTAAATGTTACGCATTCCACAGGGAGCTGAGTCTGGTGGAGGGGCGTTATCGGATTTTTGTGAAGAACACGAAACCAATCGTGTGGGGGGGGGGGGGGGGGGGGGGGGAATTAAGGAATGAGACATTGCAGTTTGGGGGAACTAGAAAGTTCTAGAATATGTAGTCCGACAAAATGCTCACTCAACACCAGATGACGTCGTGAGAAAATAAAAACACAAAATAAAAGCGAAAAGAAAACTTTGAGAACCGCTGAGTAAAACATCAATAGTGTCAATAGCGTGTATCTCGCTGTTGAAGTAGGTCACTGGATGAATAATCAACGAATAAGTGCATTGACTGAGGTAAAAATTGTAGGTGGGTAACTTAGTTATGGAGGTTAACCAATAGCTGAAGTAGAGTTAGTGATATCTTTCATTCACCTGATTAAAAAAAAAAGACTGTCGATAAAAAGCCGGCAGATGACAATAAAGGAAACGGATAATAAAAACACGTTAGTAAACACAGCGGAGATTGATGGAATGGCCGTATTGTAAATGCTGACATTTATTACCTTGTCTTAATTATAAAAAAGGAATCATTACGGGTAAATTTTCAAGCCGCCGGTATTGTCAACACAGAATTATTGATGTCGCATGAGAAAAAAAAATACCGTTATTGTTATTGAGCTGAGACGTATAGAAATGGAAAGCACACACCGGCAAAGGTAAACAAAGTGGTGTACTTGACCTTCGCTCAACAGGAAATCATTCTTAGACTACACAGATCAACACTACCGCAGGGCAGAGATTGTTCACCAACTGCCGACGTCTGCAACTAGCAACAACCGTCCCAGACGTCATTTACGTTTAGCGACAATTGAAAGAATTTATGGCCAGATTTAGCAGCACGGAGAGTAAATCTACAGGAAAAACGTCAACCCCAGCAATAGACACATAGAAAGTCTAATGGAACACGTCAACCACAGCAATAGACACATAGAAAGTCTAATGGAACACGCCAACCCCAGCAATAGACACATAGAAAGTCTAATGGAACACGCCAACCCCAGCAATAGACACATAGAAAGTCTAATGGAACACGCCAACCCCAGCAATAGACACATAGAAAGTCTAATGGAACACGCCAACCCCAGCAATAGACACATAGAAAGTCTAATGGAACACGCCAACCCCAGATAGGTTTGTTCTCTAACTGATACATTCATTTTAATGACGGTAGTTTAACGCGTCTGTCTGATGCGTGACGTCCGTGCATATGGTATGACGCCCTTCCGTCTAATGCAGAAGGTTGTGACGTCTATTTTGTGTACAACAATTTGTGACGTCCGTTCGTCTAGAATGACGTCCTTCTATCTAATAAAGCAGTTTGTGACGTGTATTTTGTCCGCAACAATGTGACCCCCAGCGGAAGTGACCTGACTAGGTTAAACAAATTTAAAAAGTGAGATCTTTCAAGTGGCATCTATAATGTACACACGCATGCCGGGGCTTCATTTTTGCTGATTCAACACTCTCTTAGCCCCGCCCAAGTCACTGAATAAGTCATCACGTCCAGAAGTCATCCAGTCAATAAGTCATCAATACAATAAGTCACCTAGTCAATAAGTCATCAATACAATAGATTAGCCCTCACGAATCGCACGCAATCAAGAAAAAAATAAATCCAAGTCCAAGAAATATTTCCAAGTTTTCAACATGACGACAACTTATACAAAATATCCAAGTCTACGCCTGCTCTTAATATCCAAGTTTACGTCTGCTTGGGTCCCCTTGATGAATAGCACGCGTCAAATTAGTGACGCAACCGTACACCGTCAACCTAGGTGTAGCAGGACCAGCTGTTACAAACACAACACATGTAATTACACCAACACATGTGTTGTAGGCTGTGTACCAGCTGTTTGTTATGTCAGCCACCATAACGGTGACATCATACACAACATTGGATATTACCGTGGTATTAATAAAACAACCCACCCTTGCCAACAAAATGGAACTAGTTAAGACAAGGATTACTGCGTTAATTCACACCATTTTTCTTGTTGTACACTAATCACCCCAGCGCCCCATGCCGTGGCACTCTGCCAAAAACCGAATCTAATTCCCCACATCCTTGATTGGTCAGGTACGCCATTACAAAACTTGGCTGAAGTAACACGAACGATAGCATCGATACTGACATTTGGCCAACACGGTGATTGACTATTGATTGAGATCGATTGATGCCTAGTGTAATCATGATTGTACTTTACTACAACTCAAACATTAGCTAAAGCTTTCTGTTGGACTGAAGTTCCCCATTATAAACATTTTGTTTTTCGATATAGGCACCATTCACTTCGTATACAGCGACACATTTCTTTTAACTGAAATTCGATGTATATTTTTGTATGCTGTTGATATGACCTAAACGGGATAACTCTGTATGTGATTCATGTAGGGGAGACCACACATGTTTCATTAAAGACTAACACACAAGGGAAGTAAAAACTTACTATTGACTGAAGTCCCCTGGCTTGTCGATCCGTGGATTGTGTGGCTAGGAGAGAAAGGGGATAAGAGATTAAAACAAAAACAGCACCTGGGTCTTTAGACGAAACAATCTACACATTATTATTTTTAAAAATCTATTTTTAAAAGTAAAAATAAGAATTAGAGCTGACTGAAGTGAACTTTACACAATAAATAGGGCTTAAATAAAAATTGTAAGAACATTTTAAATATATACATATAGGCTCCATATATAAATGACAAAATATATCAACAATTAAACAAATAAATAAATAAATAAATAAACAACGGAACAAATAAATACATAAGTGAATACACAAATAAATGAAGTAATAAATGAACTAAAAAAATAAGTATATATATATATATATATATATATATATATATATATATATATATATATATATATATATATATATATATATATATATATATAAACTTGGATAAATCAATTAACGTCCCATTACACTACAGCTACAGTATAAAGAAAATATTATCTACCAAAAAACCAACAAATGACGTGACATTTCACCAACACATGACTAGCGAGTTAGAGCTAGGAGTAGAATAAAACCAACCAACTTTATGTTTGTGAGAGAAGCTATACAAGTTATGGTTAGTGTCAAGTTGTTACAAGCTCGATGACCAGCGAATATATTATAGAATCTATGCAGATAAAACCATATGAGAATGATCGCTGATAGTTATTGAACATGTCATTGTTCTAGCACTAGCAGAACAGATTGGATGTAGACAGGTGTGGTGGGGGCGTGGTCTCAAGCCCGGGGGGTCGATGATAAATTGGCTAGGCCTAAAAGATGGTTTTAGTCCAGCATTAGTTTTAGATAGCAGAGGTTTTTTTTTATTTCAGGAATATTTTTTCTTTGTAAAGCTTAAAAAAATAACAACAAAAACAAACAAAACCCAATCAATAATAAAAATAAAACGTTAATCGAATAGCCAGACCCACATAGTAATGTCAACAGTGGCCGTTCTGACCGGCCCTGATCCTGACACGTTTCGTGGTCTCTATAGTTTGAGAATCCTTATCACAGAAAACCCGGTATAGAGAGGGTACGGCTACATGTTACGAACAAAAGAAAACGATACATAATATATGAATTATGTGGTGTTGAATTACAGCGTATGTACACAATATATGGTGAAATAATAAAACACCACACCTTACATGTGATATATTTAAAAGCAAAAAAAAATGCTGAAAATATAAAGCTGTATTAATAAACAAGAAAAAAGTAGCAAAAGAAACTACAAAATTTTACATCCGGGTCACGAAGGCCCGACCATAGTACTACATGAATATTGAAGTTAGTATATGCGAGTTATTGTCCTTAAGCCGTGTCTAGTTTTGTTCAATGTTTTGGTGCTATATAAAAACTGTTTAGCTTATACTTAATTAGATTATAATTATTTATAATTTCAAACTAATGTGTATAATTTTATAATTTAAAACTTTACTTCATTATTTTACAATATACTTTATTGTTAAATACTAAACTAAATTATTTATTTTAAATTATTGGTTTCTTTTTAAACAAAGTTCGTAAACATTATCTTATTTTAGGGACATTATTGATTATAAATGTTTACACACTATTTTTTGATGGTTGTTTATTTTTTATATCGTTACATTTTCCTAATTAATATTCTACTTTTCCTAATTAATATTCTATTTAGAAGGTAAACGAAGGTGTCAGACAACAATGACATAATTTAGCACCAGTAAAAAACAAACTAGACACGGGCTAATCAAAGGGCCGCTACTCCTACACCCAAGTTACCTTCTTATCTTTCGTGGTTGAGACAGACTTTGACCGTGGTCTATAGCGCTAGATAAAAACAATGAAAAAAACCACAAACATCAGCCATCACATTAACATGGGGTGGGACAAATCAGAACTATAAACACAGAGTCATGATGCAATCCATACTCAAAAACATCTCAGTCAGATCTAGATCTAGCTAGCAACGTTACGACTTCTACCTACTCGGAGGTAGGGCTGAATGGCTACTGGTCGTAATGCTACATACATCGATAACACATCATGTCATTTTTAAAAATAAAAACCCCTAAGTGTTCGTTTACGTGTAAGCGATTGTGCACATATTCTACAACACCAAAATGTTACCCAGCTCTACCCCGTATAACATTACACAACACTTCATTAAAAACCACATCTTCAGGTTATATAACATTTCAAATTACAGTACCCCATATCCAATATGGTACTACAGAAACTTAAACCATGAAACTGAAAGAAAGAAATATGATTTTAGAGAAAGAAATAGTTACATCTTCATTATAAAAAGTTGAAAAACCTTATTTGAGTTTTAAAAATTGAAGACTAGGTCAGTGGCGGAGCTAGGGGAGGGCGGGTGGGGCGGTCGCCCCGGGCGCCGATCCTAAGGGGGCGCCAGAGGGAGTAGAAAACTAAAAGCTCATTTTAAGCTGAAGTATTGAATTATACAACTAAAGTTAAGAAAATAAACGAATACAAGGCTTTAGACACAGATTTAACTGTTTTCTATACCGAGTTTGTGGCCGCGAAATAGAAAATGTTTCGGGAAAGCATCTGGTAAGAAGCGCGACAAACCTTTCCAACTTAGGGGGAGGGGGAACAGGAATAACTATATATATTATATAGAAATGGAAGCAAGGGATCAAAACTGATAGTCCGCCCCGGGCGCCGGAATGGGTCGCTACGCCTCTGGACTAGGTGGGTCAATCTACGCCTCTGGACTAGGTGGGTCAATCTACGCCTCTGGACTAGGTGGGTCAATCTACGCCTCTGGACTAGGTGGGTCAATATGTTCACTGAACCATTCTAAATATTAAAAATAAAAAAATAACAGTCAAAGTTATATACCATCGCCCTATACCACATCCACCCCACATAACACAGTATCACAAAATAATAAACCACAACCCTGCCCCCTCCGTGTTATTGTATACAATATGTGCACAATTCTTATCCACATCGAATGTGTATGTGTGCATGTATCAAAGTATGTGTGAGCACACAAAGCATGTATGACGCACATACACAGGCTCAAATTATACGTGAACATACACACACACAACACAATAACACATAGAAGAGCACTAACTGTGATGACAAGGTAAACGACATACCTGGCGAACAAACCTCAGGTAACAACCACCAACATAAAACCAACTCTTTCTTCAACCCAGCACAACTCAATCGACCAGTCTAATAACACAACAACGCCAATGTCTGGGTTCTCTCCCCTGATGCCCCACCCCACCGGTTCTTGCGTGAGTACCAGGCAGATATTGACTCGGGTATCTGGGGCAGCACGGGCCAGGTGACAAAGACAGACAGACAAACAGACAGACAAACAGACAGACAGACATTCACCAGTTTCATTAGACTAATTCTGACACAACAGATTATTTAGTCATTGTTAGACCGTGGTAATTAAACAGATTAAATCTTTATCCAGGCAATAAATATATTAATTAATTAATTACATTAATATGTAGCCTCTGCTGAGCGTTGGGTGGGCGCGTCACGTGACGAGATCAATACTTCATGCATTAGTCACACGGTCCGTGTGGCGGTAGATCAATATATCAAGGTGAGACGTGAGGTACGCTCAACCAAGGGAAACAACGCAGTTTATTTGTTCAAACACTTAAGACTGACAGAGTAGTCTCTGAGTGTACTTAAAATTATTAAACGAGATACTAGGATTTGAAGGGGAAAAGTTTGCCTAGACTAAACTGAATCCAAGCACATCGCAAGCACATGAATACAAAGTTTCCATCTTTTACTTGACATTGACCAATGTTGTTGATCACATGCCTGTTGCTAGGGATGTCTCATAATCACATGCACAGGTCTGATTAAAATGTTAAAACTTAATTTTTTTTAAATTCGATATTTTGATGTAGAGAAAAAAAAATGTTATTATGTCAAGGCTTTTTCCCCTCAGGCATAGCAAGAAACAAAAATGATAAGAAATCCAGGCAGATCATGCAATAGTTTAACATCTGAGCATCATCCAGTCAAGTTGATTTGACTCTGATAAAGGGTTTTGGACTGGGAGTGAAGCAAACCATGCCAGAGTGTGCCCAGAGTGTCAGACAGTAACAGACACCTTACCGATCTTTGCTCCCTGAAGGCAATGGATGAGAACCCAGGCTCGTAGTCCATGATACTACGCGGCTGACATCTGTAGACCTCTATCTTGGATCTGACGTTAGATGGCGCCCACGGACTGACAGAAAGACATTTTTTGTTACATTTATTTTATACAAACTTACACAAAATGTAAACAAAAAAAGGTTAGCAGCATCACAGACAAGCGACATGCACTGACAAGTTTTGTAAATTCTACAGAAACAAGTAAGCGTTGATATAGCAAGATTGCCAGAACTGGTGGAGTGTTGATAATAGGAAATTATCTCTAATAAGACATGTAAAAGGTTATAAAATGAAAATAAAAAAATAAAAAATTATAAATAAAACACAATTTATATAAAACTAATCAAACACACTAAAATAAATAATGAAAGATTTTGATTATACAAGCTAATTATTGAATATCATCTTAATATATTAGCAATTTAACACAATACTCATTGTTTCAAAATTATAATATAAAAAACTAACAACCTTAAAAACGTTAAAAAAAAAAGTAGCTGAGAATAAATAAAATTAAATAAAAAAAAGCTAATAAATTCATGAAGGTAGGTGACATGCAGTATCCAATTAATTACGACTGACCATCAACTTTAAGCTTTGTGTAATTTAAACAGTGAACTGTAGATTTTCACTCCTAATTGATTATAATGTAATTAGTTAAACAGAAACCCACTAAGGGGCTTTATATCACCTGTATAGTTCATTAAGCTTATACTGGCCTTCTCTTTTATAGTGGATAAACTTAATTTTACAATGAAAATACTGATAGATTTCATAAAGTGCAAGACAAAGAAATGAGACACGATAAGGGAACAGTAAAATAGCAGAATAGGTTGGACAGATTGCTAAAAGTTGGATGGGGGTAGGGGATGGTCTGAAATTGAAATAATTCATGCCTTAACAGCATAGGAGAGGTTACAATCTCACAAAAAAAAATTTAATGCTTCAGGAAGAAAAAAAAAATTAATTTTTAATATACTTTTAATCATTTTATAAATTGTAATTATTTTTTCAGCCCTAATCCTTAAAACAAAAAGCTGGTTAATAATTAATAAAAAGTAGAATAATGTAGAAAACCATTGACTTTTAGCTCACTTGAAGCTTAGGTTTGTAAAAAAATTAAAATAAAATATGTGGGCAAATCTTCAGAGGGAAGGACAACCATGCAACAAAGAGAGGTAATCCACAATTACCTGTCCTGGTGTGGTAGTGAGCTATGTGATTAAATACAGGTTAAATAGTTAGATCAGTTCAAAGCCTTGTGTTTTAACAACATTCAATACTCATGCTATTAATCTGTACTAATTATGTTTTTAACAATTTGTATTGTCAATTTTTTACATTTATTAAGATTTTTTATAGCACAATAACTAGACATGAAATTACAAGACACGTTTAACTTTTCCCTTTATCTTTACATTTTAAAAAGCTGAAATCCCCCCCCCCCCCCTCCCAAAAAAAAAAAAAAAGTAAAAATAAATAAAATTTAGTAGATTGGAAAATAAAATTGCAGTTTCAATTGTCCTGTAAAATAAACTAATATAACACACAAAAAATGGAAACATTCACAACTCACAAGACTTCACACACAAGCCCAGATTAGAATATCACAAGACAACACACATAACATAATGTTAATATTTTAAAATAAAATGGAAGTATAATATACTATAATAAAGATCCACATTTACAAAAAATATTCTAGCAATATAATGTGTAAAAATTTCTCAATATCAGAGTCAAAAGATCTTCCAATTTAAATAAATGATCAAAAGATCATAAACAATCATATATGCCAAAAGTGTATTTGACACAAGCCAGCTATATGGGGCCAGCTTGGGGCCAACAGATTTGAGACAAGCCAGCTATATGGGGCCAGCTTGGGGCCAACAGATTTGAGACAAGCCAGCTATATGGGGCCAGCTTGGGGCCAACAGATTTGAGACAAGCCAGCTATATGGGGCCAGCTTGGGGCCAACAGATTTGAGACAAGCCAGCTATATGAGGCCAACGTATCTCAAACAAGCCAGCTATATGAGACCAGCCATAAAAGGCCAACGTATCTCAAACAAGCCAGCTATATGAGACCAGCCATAAAAGGCCAACGTATCTCACACAAGCCAGCTATATGAGACCAGCCATAAAAGGCCAATGCATCTCAAACAAGCCAGCTATATGAGACCAGCCATAAAAGGCCAATGCATCTCACACAAGCCAGCTATATGAGACCAGCCATAAAAGGCCAATGCATCTCAAACAAGCCAGCTATATGAGACCAGCCATAAAAGGCCAACGTATCTCAAACAAGCCAGCTATATGAGACCAGCCATAAAAGGCCAACGTATCTCACACAAGCCAGCTATATGAGACCAGCCATAAAAGGCCAATGCATCTCAAACAAGCCAGCTATATGAGACCAGCCATAAAAGGCCAATGCATCTCAAACAAGCGAGCTATATGAGACCAGCCATAAAAGGCCAACGTATCTCACACAAGCCAGCTATATGAGACCAGCCATAAAAGGCCAATGCATCTCACACAAGCCAGCTATATGAGACCAGCCATAAAAGGCCAATGCATCTCAAACAAGCCAGCTATATGAGACCAGCCATAAAAGGCCAACGTATCTCACACAAGCCAGCTATATGAGACCAGCCATAAAAGGCCAATGCATCTCACACAAGCCAGCTATATGAGACCAGCCATAAAAGGCCAATGCATCTCAAACAAGCCAGCTATATGAGACCAGCCATAAAAGGCCAACGTATCTCACACAAGCCAGCTATATGAGACCAGCCATAAAAGGCCAATGCATCTCAAACAAGCCAGCTATATGAAACCAGCCATAAAAGGCCAATGCATCTCAAACAAGCCAGCTATATGAGACCAGCCATAAAAGGCCAATGCATCTCAAACAAGCCAGCTATATGAGACCAGCCATAAAAGGCCAACGTATCTCACACAAGCCAGCTATATGAGACCAGCCATAAAAGGCAAACGTATCTCAAACAAGCCAGCTATATGAGACCAGCCATAAAAGGCCAACGCATCTCACACAAGCCAGCTATATGAGACCAGCCATAAAAGGCCAATGCATCTCACACAAGCCAGCTATATGAGACCAGCCATAAAAGGCCAATGCATCTCAAACAAGCCAGCTATATGAGACCAGCCATAAAAGGCCAATGCATCTCAAACAAGCCAGCTATATGAGACCAGCCATAAAAGGCCAATGCATCTCACACAAGCCAGCTATATGAGACCAGCCATAAAAGGCCAATGCATCTCAAACAAGCCAGCTATATGAGACCAGCCATAAAAGGCCAATGCATCTCAAACAAGCCAGCTATATGAGACCAGCCATAAAAGGCCAACGTATCTCACACAAGCCAGCTATATGAGACCAGCCATAAAAGGCCAATGCATCTCAAACAAGCCAGCTATATGAAACCAGCCATAAAAGGCCAATGCATCTCAAACAAGCCAGCTATATGAGACCAGCCATAAAAGGCCAATGCATCTCAAACAAGCCAGCTATATGAGACCAGCCATAAAAGGCCAACGTATCTCACACAAGCCAGCTATATGAGACCAGCCATAAAAGGCAAACGTATCTCAAACAAGCCAGCTATATGAGACCAGCCATAAAAGGCCAACGCATCTCACACAAGCCAGCTATATGAGACCAGCCATAAAAGGCCAATGCATCTCACACAAGCCAGCTATATGAGACCAGCCATAAAAGGCCAATGCATCTCAAACAAGCCAGCTATATGAGACCAGCCATAAAAGGCCAATGCATCTCAAACAAGCCAGCTATATGAGACCAGCCATAAAAGGCCAATGCATCTCACACAAGCCAGCTATATGAGACCAGCCATAAAAGGCCAATGCATCTCAAACAAGCCAGCTATATGAGACCAGCCATAAAAGGCCAACGTATCTCAAACAAGCCAGCTATATGAGACCAGCCATAAAAGGCCAACGTATCTCAAACAAGCCAGCTATATGAGACCAGCCATAAAAGGCCAATGCATCTCAAACAAGCCAGCTATATGAGACCAGCCATAAAAGGCCAATGCATCTCACACAAGCCAGCTATATGAGACCAGCCATAAAAGGCCAATGCATCTCACACAAGCCAGCTATATGAGACCAGCCATAAAAGGCCAATGCATCTCACACAAGCCAGCTATATGAGACCAGCCATAAAAGGCCAATGCATCTCAAACAAGCCAGCTATATGAGACCAGCCATAAAAGGCCAACGTATCTCAAACAAGCCAGCTATATGAGACCAGCCATAAAAGGCCAACGTATCTCAAACAAGCCAGCTATATGAGACCAGCCATAAAAGGCCAATGCATCTCAAACAAGCCAGCTATATGAGACCAGCCATAAAAGGCCAATGCATCTCAAACAAGCCAGCTATATGAGACCAGCCATAAAAGGCCAACGTATCTCAAACAAGCCAGCTATATGAGACCAGCCATAAAAGGCCAATGCATCTCAAACAAGCCAGCTATATGAGACCAGCCATAAAAGGCCAATGCATCTCAAACAAGCCAGCTATATGAGACCAGCCATAAAAGGCCAATGCATCTCAAACAAGCCAGCTATATGAGACCAGCCATAAAAGGCCAATGCATCTCAAACAAGCCAGCTATATGAGACCAGCCATAAAAGGCCAATGCATCTCAAACAAGCCAGCTATATGAGACCAGCCATAAAAGGCCAACGTATCTCAAACAAGCCAGCTATATGAGACCAGCCATAAAAGGCCAATGCATCTCAAACAAGCCAGCTATATGAGACCAGCCATAAAAGGCCAACGTATCTCACACAAGCCAGCTATATGAGACCAGCCATAAAAGGCCAATGCATCTCACACAAGCCAGCTATATGAGACCAGCCATAAAAGGCCAATGCATCTCAAACAAGCCAGCTATATGAGACCAGCCATAAAAGGCCAACGTATCTCACACAAGCCAGCTATATGAGACCAGCCATAAAAGGCCAATGCATCTCAAACAAGCCAGCTATATGAGACCAGCCATAAAAGGCCAATGCATCTCAAACAAGCCAGCTATATGAGACCAGCCATAAAAGGCCAACGTATCTCACACAAGCCAGCTATATGAGACCAGCCATAAAAGGCCAATGCATCTCACACAAGCCAGCTATATGAGACCAGCCATAAAAGGCCAACGTATCTCACACAAGCCAGCTATATGAGACCAGCCATAAAAGGCCAATGCATCTCACACAAGCCAGCTATATGAGACCAGCCATAAAAGGCCAACGCATCTCAAACAAGCCAGCCATAAAAGGCCAATGCATCTCAAACAAGCCAGCTATACGAGGCCAGCTATACGAGGCCAACAGATCTGACACAAGCCATATATATGTAACTTACTTCCTTCTAGGCTCCCTGGACTCTGATGTGCTCTTGCTGCGATGTTTCATCAAATCTTTGTATCTGCCCTCAGGTTCAGACCTGTAGCCTGACTCATCAACTACAAAATTTGGTTTCAAGTTTTAGACATTCATAAAATTGTAACACAACACATGCAGAATTTGTAAATCTCATTTTTCAGTCTAATAGAAAAGAAATGAAGTCCAAAGAGTTTGCCTGTCTAGGAGATGGAATAAAACTGTGCAGGAGAATAAAACAACTAGAGCAAGCAGTTAAAAATGATGGTACCTTTAGATTTAGTTTTCCCATAACTGGGCCGGTAGGGTTTCTCATCTGAAACAAAAAAAAATGTATGAACAAAACGTAAGCAATATAAACTTTTTTTAAATTGATTGAATCATAGAGCTGGTATTATTAATGCATTAATTTATTGTGTTTTATGAATGATAGCTATAAAACAGCAAAATTAAGAAAGGTAAAATAGCTGCATCTACAACTGTAAAATATAATTAAACTAGTTTCTAATTGTAAACTATGAACTGCAACTGACCCAAGCCCTCCTCTGACTTGGTGTCAGATATATCATCAGGAAACTGGTAGGTTGGCCTGTATGAGTTGGTTTCTGTTGTAAAACAAAAGAGACATTTAGCACATCTTCACCATGCATCCATCAGAACAAACAAGTGTGCTTTGACAAGGGTGTGTGTCATGTAATGTGTTAGTCACAGCTGTTCTGTGTTGTTGAATGACCTTATTTTTTTCATGGCCTCATGTCAAAACAATAAAGTTGATGAAATGTGGGAATATTTAAGTCTACAAATAATATCAATGGCTCTAAAACATTTCAAACAATTTTTAAACAAGCATAAGATAATATTATTTTGGATTTTAAATGATGTGAAATATAAGTATAATACTTTTGCAATGAAGTACTTTTCTTTCTGATAAAATCATTATTTAATTAAACATACAATGGGGATTAGTAAAAAAAAATTGGTAGTATTTTTACCCACCTCCATTAAATACATTGATAAATATGTGCAATGTAATTAAGTTACTATGTATTCACATTAAAACAGAACAAATATAGATATTTATTTTGTGTCATCTGTTGTGAGATTTAAGTTAAAATATAAGCATGTATAACCCATCATCAGGAATATGTTATATTTTTTCAGCTCATGCCTTCAGTATAAAGAACATTAGCCAATATTGAGTTATTTTAAAAATCTATAGTTAATAATAAAAGCAAAAAAAAAAAAACCACTGGCAGACCAATGTGAAGGTACTTAAAGCTCAATGTGAAAGGTACTTAAGCTCAACGTGAAAGGCACTTAAAGCTCAATGTTGACAAAACACCTAACCACTACCACATCAACAGAAACAACAAAGCCATTTCTAAACATTGGACCCTACAGTAACTTCAATATTTAAAACACACACAACATCTTGTGATACATCCTATAGAGTTGTCCTTGTTCTTTAATGCTTTTTGCTAATAATTTAAATTTAACAATCAGCTTAAAAGACAGGTACAGAATAAATATAACTTTTTTTTTAATCATGTCCTAAATTTTTCTAAATATCAATTTATATTAAATAACTTTAAAGGGAAGATTAGGTCTATTGCCAAACAAAAAATGTAAAAAAAAAAAAAAAAAAAAAAACCAGAATAATTCTTGTCAGCAGTGAAAGTTAGTGAAAGCAATTATTTATGCAAAAGCTGCATCAGATATTGAATGCAGCTGATGGAGATGCCATTTGAACTAAACACTGTAGCTGTTTTCTGGTTAGCTATACATGATATAATGCAGAGTACACAGTACAATCATTTTCTTACCAAGTTGTTTCACTGTCAGAATAAGAAACAAAAGGAATTGTTCTATTGTGTGGTGGGTATGTTGTATTTATGGTGGTTAAACACATTTGTCTGGCTTTATATCAATGGGTTATTTTAGATTCATCCAACAGAAGGGACATAATCCAACAGAAGTGACATAATCCAACAGAAGGGACATAATCCAACAGAAGGGACATAATCCAACAGAAGGGACATAATCAGACACACCCATGACTTGACATGCGGGACAACATCTTGATGTAAACAAATATTTTTGTTGACAAATCTTTCATAGATATGGATATTGACTAGGTTTAAGTTATTTTAAAATCAGTTTTTAAATTAAAATTGTTTGGAAGCTGTACTATTCATTAACTTTAGTCTATTTAAAATGTTATTGTTTTAGTAAAATCACCTGTTAAAATAATTTTAAAATAAATGTGAGTTTTCAAAAAGATAAATATAGCTTTGATGCTGCACTTCGTGTGAAACAAGAGCCATAATCAAGAAGTGTTTTATAACCCTTCCCTCACTAGTACACCAAGCACTCTACACATGGTAACTAAACAAGAGCTACAAACCAATAACTACACATTTTAAAACCACCTACATATTACATTGTTTTCTATAAGTACTAAGAGAAATCAATTTAAAAAAAAAACAATCCACCAAAAACTACTCTTGTGGAATAGAATAAGTGTGCACAATTATCTTAAAGAGTTGCTTCCCTTTCACCACTTTACATGTGTGATTTTAAGTCCCACCCTCTGTTTACCTTCAGGAATGAGATGAAAATAAACCACATCTTCTGAAGGTGGTTTTCTAGCTGTGGATAGCATTTGTTTATCAGAACCACTTGTGTGAATTGCAGATGGATAAAGGCATATCTCAATGCTTGGGTAGTTAAAGCAGTTTGGTTTGTGACTTGAGATTTTTATTTTAAAAGTTGAAAAACTGAACTAATATTTCTAAAGAATATCACAACACATGCACTAACATTTATCTACAGTTTTTAGGGCTTTTGTTAGCCAAGTAATAAATGTTTTGTTTTAAATGGTAGATTTATTTTAAGTCTGGTACAATATTTCAATAACACATCACATATTTATCTAGTTGTGATCTCAATGGATTGCTAATACAAGCAGGCATAAAAAAAATAATAATTTAAAATATTATTCTTTGAACACATTGAAAATTTCCAGTAAATTAAAGTGTGCAGCAGGATGTGAGAATTCTGGTGTTGGGCAGAGATGGCAGGAACTATAGAAAACTAAATTTAAAATATCTCGTTGGGATGCAGACATTTTTAACACCAGGGTTAAGTCACATGCCACATTTATTATCAACAAATAGATTTTTTTTTTTTAAATTTAGTTGAATAAAGTTTTATAAACGTTTTTAATGACATAAGGAAAGTGTTAATAATATAATCAAATAATTTCTTGTTGTTGAGAGGGAGGTGAGCAGTTAGAAACTGAGGATATTTTTTCATGAGGATTTGAGTCAAGAGACAAAACTGAGACATTGATCACAATGCGAAACATGAAGCAAGCTGAAAACATTTGGCACCTGCGTCCTCGAAAATGGAGTCTATCATAGCATTAATGCCAAGATGATCTGGGGATTGGGTACATTTTTTTATCATTTCAAAATTTCACATTCTTCTAGTCAACATGTTTTGTATGTGCTGGGTGTGTTACTATATTTGTATTCAAAACCTTGGAATACATTTCTAAGACATAAAGTTTGATAAAATGGTATTAAAAATTCTAGCAAACTCATTGTTGTGCTATGACTAAATAACTAAACTATCAACTCAAGCAAAGTGAATACACGGGTTAAAATATTTAAAAAGTAAAACAAAACAAAAATTATTTTAAAGCAATAACAATTACTCTAGCATTAAGAATAAAACTTATAGAATGTACCTTCTATTATATTATATTTTTTTTCACATAGTATTAAAGTTCATTAACATTCATGTTGTGAAGACAATTTACTTGTGTTATTAAATCAGATTTTATGAGTTTTATTTTACTCTTACAACACAAACAGCTTTACAAAACTTTGTCAGTTTTAGTGGCAGAGAATGATCCACACTACACCAGCAGATGTCAGGGACAGCAAGCTTGCCATGCTGCACAATACTTCAGCCAATCATGTGACCAGTGAATGATCCACACTACACCAGCAGATGTCAGGGACAGCAAGCCTGCCATGCTGCACAATACTTCAGCCAATCATGTGACCAAAGCTGTAGACGTGAGTTAGCTCCAACACATGTGACAAGTGCTTACCTTCTTTCTTCTCTGTCTTGTGCAGGCTCCTGTACATCTGCTTGTACCAGTCTTTTTGTTTCTCTTCGTCCACGTTCTGAAACAAGCAGGGGACAGCATTCAGTGAAACTTTCTTATTTGCCTTAATTTAAAGTATATTATTTTATTTATAGTTTAATTTTTTTTTTTACTCAGTTACCTCCCTTGGACTGTTACACCTTAGATTTACATAATGGACAGCAGTAGTTTCCCTTTCTATATTTTGAACATAACATCATCAGATTTCTTATATAAAATACAAATTCTTTCTACAAGAACTCTTTAGGTCTACCTTTCTGAAGCCAAGTGGGACACCTTCTTTATCCACTGGCCCAATCCCATCATACTTGACAGGCTTGACCTCTGTGACCACCTTGGTCGTGGAGGTGGGCTGCTCTGATGGGGTGGTGTAGTAGGTCTCCACTGTGCTCTTGTCTCCATCAGAGATGTGCTTGCTGCCAATATACTGAGCGCCCTTGGGCAGCTGGCCATCTTAAACAGATAAAAAATTTGATGAAAACAAGAAACATAAGCTATTCAACCAAAAACTGAAAACTACTTGACAATACAAAAATTAAAAAAAAAATATTTTAAGTGAAGAATTTGAAGACTTTATTAAGAAAGTATTTAAAATTAAATTTATTAAATAAAAAATCGATTTCATTTTAAAATGTGGAAATTAAGAGTAAAAATTTGAATTAATTCTATGAACGTTGAATTTAAATTTAATAGTTAAGATCAAAACAAAAGGGAAATTAGTTTTAAAGTTAGTTTTTTGATAAGCCTTCATGTGAATTGCAAGAAATAGAAGCCTCAAGTAGAATTATGAGCAATAAAAAGCAGGATTACACGCCTTAACAGCAATAAAAAAACATTGGGTCGTTCATAAAGTTTAGTAGCTGTTAGGCCAGGGACATATTCTACTGTACAAAAAATATTAGCATCCCAAAATCTGAAATCAAAAGTTTTTGTTAAGGAAAAGGTTCTTGTTAAAAAAACAGTGCAGTTCATAAAAACAACATAAGACTGGAACATACAATGGGGTTCACATACATAGAAAACAAAACAAATTCTAATAATGAGGTCAATTAAACTTGTAAAATACCTAATTATAGGGATAATGAGTGTTAAAGCATACTTGATTATTTAATGAAAGCGGCCTTGTTTTATTACTAGCCAATATTTTAACTAGGCCTATATAATGATGCATACATGCTTATTTTGTAGGCAGAAAATTTTTATGAAAGAAAATAGAATCTATTATATATGATGTAGTTAGCAGGATTTTAGCTGATGAAACCAAAGCTGAAATTTAAAAAAAAATTAAAGCTGTTAAACCCAACTACAAAGAGCCAATCCCTAATGAAAGCCAATCCCTAATGAAAGCCAATCCCTAATGGAGCAGTGTTAGTTGGTTTAGATTGGCTAGCAGTGGTCTCTTACCATCATTAACAATGATTGGTTTACCCACAAATTTCATACCATTGAAATCTGGGGTGTCTTCTGTATCTGAAATCAAGTGAAAGCACATCAGGTCAACAAAACTAGCCCTGTGTACTGTTGGCCAGATCTTTATAATAGTGAAATCAAATATAATAATTTACAGTTGCCAAGGCTTGATTGAACACTGTAAACAATCATTTTAAATAAGATTTTACATAATTCATAATTAAAATGTTTTATATTTTATATTTACTTAATCAAATAAAATGTAACAAATTCTAATCAAATCAGTTGCCAATCACTATATCTAAAACTACTAGATCTATACTCAAGCCCAATAGCAGCAACTAAATCTGACAGAACAAGTGAAACAGCTGACAACAGAGGAGGGAAAAACAGTCTGGACTTGAATAAAACTTCTAAAGCAGGGATTCTTAAAATACACACTTGCAGTACCCATAGTTTTGTAGATGTTTGCTATTTGCTGATTCAACAATAATGGGAATTGGCCCATGGCTAATTCATGAAAACCAAATGTTTTTTTCTTAAAATCTAATGATTAAAAGTCCCAGAAATTTAAAGATGTTTGGGGTCATATCACACATGTTAAGAATCCCTGGTCTAAACCATAACAACAGGTGCAACAGAAGGTGGTAGATTTAGATAAAAAATATTTGTTGAAGCAATGTGTCTATGGAAAACAGATTGATTTCAAAGAGTTAGGTTAAAAGAGTATTGTTTTGTTTCTCATTAAACATACATGTTGATAGCATTAGTAGCTTGTATAAGATATACACGTCAGTTGTGCTTTGTTTTTATATAAGTGCAAATAGTAGCTTTTAGTGTAAATAGATTTACATAAGTCTTGCTTGTACACATTTTAATTTAAGCATCAAACGGGTCTGTATATTTTTAGAATAAGTGAAGGGACATTGAAAAGTTACAGACAGAATCATTGGGTTGTTGTAGGGGGCATCATAGGAGGATGTTGAGAGGATCATGAGAAGATTTAGAGAGGATCATGGGAAGATGTTGAGAGGATCATGGGAAGATGTTGAGAGGATCATGGGAAGATGTTGAGAGGATCATGGGAAGATGTTGAGAGGATCATGGGAAGATGTTGAGAGGATCATGGGAAGATGTTGAGAAGATCATGGGAAGATGTTGAGAGGATCATGGGAAGATGTTGAGAGGATCATGGGAAGATGTTGAGTGGATCATGGGAAGATGTTGAGAGGATCATGGGAAGATGTTGAGAGGATCATGGGAAGATGGTGAGAGAATCATGGGAAGATGTTGAGTGGATCATGGGAAGATGTTGAGTGGACCATGGGAAGATGTGGAGAGGATCATGGGAAGATGGTGAGAGAATCATGGGAAGATGTGGAGTGGATCATGGGAAGATGTTGAGTGGATCATGGGAAGATGTGGAGAGGATCATGGGAAGATGTTGAGAGGATCATGGGAAGATGTTGAGAGGATCATGGGAAGATGGTGAGAGATATCATGGGACAGGATGTTTGGATGAAGTAGCTGGCTCTAAAACCCAAAAACCAAACAAAGTAGGTCACTTAGTGGAAAGAGACAGTAAATTAAAAAAAAATATTTCAACCATGAAAATAACTTTTTGCAAACTAAAACAAAATTTTAAACAAAATTTACTTTAGAAAATAAAAACATAGATGCGTGAATGGAAAGACAGCTAATCTGTAAGAAAGACAGCTGCCCATAAACCACACCACCTGCATAATGTACATATTGTTTATGGAGTTTAGTACAAAACAAATTGTGTAATAGCTAACAAAAAAAAAAAAAAAAAGCTGCCGCCTAGGCTAACTGATTGAATGGCTGGCTGAAACTAACAATATGTAAATTATGCAAGTCACCTAGCAAGTCACATGACAAGTCACATGACAAGTCACCTGACAATGTTTGGGAGATCTAAACCTTACCCTTTAGCTTTGATTCTTCCAATAATTTAAGCTCTGAAAACATTTATAATCATGCAAGGAGAAATGTAACGACCTACATTTAATCAACACTAATTAACTACACCAACTTGCTTCAATGAATATTGACATTGGCTTACTTCACTACACAAATATAACTAAGGTACTGTAATAAATTAATATACAATTGAAACAACTGTAATTTTTCTCTATAGCTCTGGAATAATGAAACAGACAGCTGCAACAGGAAGATGCAACAGGAAATTTGAGAAGAATAAAATCCAGATAAATTGAATGCTTGACTTGTTGTAATAACCCACGTAGGCTTTACCTCGGCTTTTCTGGAGTAGTGTTATGTACGGGCTTTGAGTGGGAGGAAGCCTGGTCTCATCCCCTCCACTGTCGCCATTCATGTGTCTGCTGTCTGTGGGTTCAAAGGTCGACGTCTGCTTGAAGTTTGATGATGTATCCAAGGGGGAGTAACTGGGTAGAGAGTTGGTGGACTCTGTTCTAGGAGGTGGTTTCCAGGCAAATGATTCGTCAGGAGGTGGACCCTACAACAACATCACCATTGGCTGATTAAACTGTTCTACGAGGTACTAATAAACTGTTAAATATGTTAAAACTCTATGATTTGTTTTAGCATTCTGAAACATTATTTAACACAAATAGAGAATCTGTAAACAAACCTACAAGTAACATTAATGGGCTCATGCTATCAGCATGATATTTAAGATCAAGTGTTATATTAACTGTGATGTAACAAATATCAGTGGTATTTGAGTAGTAATTGATCTGGTATTTGAGCGGTATTTGTGTGGTATTTAGAAAAGTTACCTGAGCTGTGGTGTTTTGTTTTAGTGGCTTTTTGGTGGTGTCCAGTCTAACTGGGCGATATTCTTTTTTGATGCCAAGTGTGCTGGTACCCCCAGGTTTCCAGACTGGCGCAATATTTTTCAGGGATTCTTGATCGTCCGTTGATGACCTCTGGTGGTCAGTTGATGACCTCAGGGGTAGAGTCTGACTTTCCCAAGAATCTGGAAAATATTTTTAAATAATTTTGATATTCATGACCTTGCGTGCCATTAAATAAAATACAAAAGAATTATCTGGAAAATAAATTCATAGTTTTAAAAAATATACATCAATATGCTTTTAGAAATGTAAGGTCAATATGCTTTTAGAAATGTAAGGTCTAATTGTGTTTAGAAATGTAAGTTTAATATGCTTTTAGAAATGTAAGGTCATTATGCTTTTAGAAATGTAAGGTCTAATTGTTTTTAGAAATGTAAGTTTAATAGGCTTTTAGAAATGTAAGGTCTAATTGTTTTTAGAAATATAAGTTTAATATGCTTTTAGAAATGTAAGGTCTAATTGTTTTTAGAAATGTAAGTTTAATAGGCTTTTAGAAATGTAAGGTCATTATGCTTTAAGAAATGTAAGGTTCATATGTATTAAGAAATGTTAGGTTCATATGCTTTTAGAAAAGTAAGGTCAATATGTTTTTTAGAAAAGTAAGGTCAATATGTTTTTTAGAAATGTCAAAAGTAGATTTACTTGTAGCCTTTAACAGTACTATCGGGTCTATTTTTTTCTGGTCAATGTTATGATATCAGCATTTATAAGTAGCTAGTAACAATAGGTATGTGTAGATAGTAGCAGTGTGTGTGTGTAGCTCATAGAAACATGTATGTGTTGCTAGTAGCAATGTGTATGTGTTGCTAATAGAAAATGTGTATAGTCTCACCTGATTTCTGTGGGTATCCTAAACTACGGAATTCATCAGATATTGACCCGTTGGGGCGGTATTCATTAGTTTTATCTGGTGAAATAAACACATTATCATCAGTGAAAATTAAACATAAAAAAGTTTGGTTTTATTGATGCATGGTTATCCTGAAAAACTATGTTAATCCATGGACATAGGATCCACAAGAGCAAACTTGAACAAGATGATTAAGTTTAGTAAAATCCTTGTGATTACACAATAGATTAAGCATTCAATTAATTTAGGCTATATATAGAGGGGATCAGGGATTTCCACATGTATTCAATATTTTATGAACAAGAATTCATCCATTTCATTTTTGTATAACTAGAAAATAGACTAAACTTGACCAACTTAATAAGCCCACAAGTAAGTAGACACATCTTGACCAACTTTAAAAACCCACTAATAAGTAGACACATCTTGACCAACTTTAAAAACCCACTAATAAGTAGACACATCTTGACCAACTTTAAAAACCCACTAATAAGTAGACACATCTTGACCAACTTTAAAAACCCACTAATAAGTAGACACATCTTGACCAACTTTAAAAACCCACTAATAAGTAGACACATCTTGACCAACTTTAAAAACCCACTAATAAGTAGACACATCTTGACCAACTTTAAAAACCCACTAATAAGTAGACACATCTTGACCAACTTTAAAAACCCACTAATAAGTAGACACATCTTGACCAACTTTAAAAACCCACTAATAAGTAGACACATCTTGACCAACTTTAAAAACCCACTAATAAGTAGACACATCTTGACCAACTTTAAAAACCCACTAATAAGTAGACACATCTTGACCAACTTTAAAAACCCACTAATAAGTAGACACATCTTGACCAACTTTAAAAACCCACTAATAAGTAGACACATCTTGACCAACTTTAAAAACCCACTAATAAGTAGACACATCTTGACCAACTTTAAAAACCCACTAATAAGTAGACACATCTTGACCAACTTTAAAAACCCACTAATAAGTAGACACATCTTGACCAACTTTAAAAACCCACTAATAAGTAGACACATCTTGACCAACTTTAAAAACCCACTAATAAGTAGACACATCTTGACCAACTTTAAAAACCCACTAATAAGTAGACACATCTTGACCAACTTTAAAAACCCACTAATAAGTAGACACATCTTGACCAACTTTAAAAACCCACTAATAAGTAGACACATCTTGACCAACTTTAAAAACCCACTAATAAGTAGACACATCTTGACCAACTTTAAAAACCCACTAATAAGTAGACACATCTTGACCAACTTTAAAAACCCACTAATAAGTAGACACATCTTGACCAACTTTAAAAACCCACTAATAAGTAGACACATCTTGACCAACTTTAAAAACCCACTAGAAAGTAGACACATCTTGACCAACTTTAAAAACCCACTAATAAGTAGACACAACTTGACCAACTTTAAAAACCCACTAGAAAGTAGACACATCTTGACCAACTTTAAAAACCCACTAGAAAGTAGACACATCTTGACCAACTTTAAAAACCCACTAATAAGTAGACACAACTTGACCAACTTTAAAAACCCACTAGAAAGTAGACACATCTTGACCAACTTTAAAAACCCAAACACCATGTAGCATAGTGTTTGCACATAAAGTGTCAATCGTATAAAGTATAAAATAATTTGAAAAATGACTAATTGAAACCAAGACTAGCATCCAAATGAGCTACTTGCATGTTATTAGTCTGCGAGCTCCTTCTCTCAAAGTGCTTCTGACAGCCATGTGAATCAGTCACAAAGTGGTGTATACTTATGTAATTTTTACAATCATTGTAAACAAAAGTAACCAAGATGCAGGATTCATAAAGTTTTTTAATGTGTTTTAAGCAGATCCTTCACAAAATGGTGTAGATTTTTATTTTATTTACCAGTTCACAGTACAGGTAATGCTAATAGGAAAGTTATTCTTTATACTAAATCATAGCAAGCCTGTTTAAAATTCTCAGAAAAATGAGTGCACACATTTTAAATGACAAAGTTGTAAAAAAAAAGTCACAGATATTCCAAACTCCAAAAATGAAGCTAAACAATCCATACAGCCCCAACTTAAAGACCTTAGTCTAAACAATAGAAATGTTGGTGTCGTTCTCCCCCCCCCCCCCCCCCCGGGCAGGTAGTACCATGAAATTATGGGGGAGAGACATTCTACAGGTAACTAGAATCTAACCTTCAGGGGAGATAAGAGAGAGGCATCTGGAAACTGGATCAATTGGGACACAGGTGAGTCAGGTATAGGAAATCATGGCGCGGCGGAGGTCTAAGGCCAATGTGGAGTATTTTTAAAATAAAAAATGTTCTGACCTTGGTACTGATTAATCAGATATATTGAGTGAATAATTTGTTAGGTTTACAAAACAATGTGTTCAGTCTCAAATTTCCAAGCACGTACTTGTATTATAGAATCTTACAGCAGTTGTAGACAAAATAATTGAAACATCAGACAGATGGACAATGAACCGACAACATTCTTTGTTTTCTTTGAATTGATTGAACTGAACAATATATTCTAATAACACAGATACCACTGCTACATATGGGGCTATCAATTTTGTTTTTTTATCCAGCCAATCAATTTATTTTTTAACCAGGTGACAAAAATCCCACTACTGTAATGTATTATAGCTTGTGGAGCAGAACTTGATTTCTTTTCTAGAAGATTTGCATTTCCTCTCAATTATCTGATACCTTATACCTGCTTTTCCAAAAAACGTTGACTGCCCCTGATGGAAATAATTAAAGAGAAGAAACTTGTTGCTTATGCTAATGACAGAACTTTTTTTATTGTGATGTGCAGAGAATCAGAGTATATACTTCTTGCTGTGCTTTTCTGGCAATGGACACTTATTCTTTGAATAACGTGGGCCTTCTGGATTCGACATATTTAAAAATCTATTATATAAAAGGCAAAAGTTATACAGCATTTTGGCATTGTCAAGTGGAAGGAGATGGGGGAATAAGAACCTGATGGTAGATTGACAATAACAACCTTTTAATTACTCTGTCATTTCCCATTACCTCCCCTGGCCCATCACTCGTTCTACATCACCCCTTGTACCAGTGCAAACAACAAACAAAATGCAGTAGTACATTATCTTCACCCACCCCAATCAATTAGCCACAGATCATTAGATTAAGAGATTTCATTAGGGATAGGTTAATAAGTTAGAAATATATATGTATGTGAGTATAGGCATATATAGAGATATAGGTAGAGGTTTGGGTACTGATAAAGGTGTAAGTATGCATATGTAGCTTGATAGGGAAAAGGATATAATAGTTAAAGTGATAGGATAGGCTTATGTTTATGTTTGATATTTTCAAGTGTTCATATTTACATAAATGCATAAAATTAAAAATATTATTTTCCCCAACACCAAGGAAACTACATTTTATGATGCTAATTATACATAAAATATTCATCCAATACCAAATTTAAAAAAAAAATTGTTTTTCCAAAAGCATAAGTTCAATGACTCTGACCAGCTATATAATTAAAACATGTGGATATAAGTCATCTAATATGTTATAAATTAAGCTAATAGTTTATTGTTTAAACTAGAGTTAAATGATATGTTAAAATATAAGTAGTATTTAATTTAAGCAATCAGTTAAATACTGCTTCAACAACTGTTTTTTGTATTAAAAAGTACAATAATGTTAATTTTTTATTCTATTATTATTGAATTTCTTTATAGTTTAAAGATTTTTAGGACAATAAGTGTAGGTTGTGTCCCTTGGTTAATAAAGTAGTAAATAATCATATTCAATATATAACAAGTTTACCTATTTTTCAACAATGCATAGTTTTTAAACTTATTGAACAGCAATATTATAATGAATATTTAAAGTTACAATTATATACATATATGTCTACTAATTTATGTGTATATTTACATTTTACATATAAAGTTTTCACACCTCCCCTAGTAATAGTTCATGAGTTCAGTTAGCAACCTTTACTTAACACTAAAATTTCAAGATGTAAAGCCTTTTTATAAAACCTCACTTCAATAACATATAAACAATATCAACAGCTCTATTATCAATTTCCTATCAATTTCTTTCCTCAAACAACCCTTGTTAAAATATTATTTCAACAAATTTTTTCAATAAAGCTTTGTTTTCGGAACTTTAAAACTTTTTATGCTCTCATATTCTATTAGTTGTAGACATAACGTAGTAAACATAACCCTAACCTGTTGTAAACACAACTCACCTGAGTACGGGTACGGTTGACTAGTCTTGGTGTGTGGGGATGAGCTCTGGTCATCTGTTGATACATTAATTAGTAATTAGAAGGGGCTTGTGGTATTAGAAGGGGCTTGTGGTATTAGAGGGGGGGGGGGGGAGGGCTTGTATTATTAGAGGGGTTTGAGAGGGCTTGTGATATTAGAGGGGCTTGTGGTATTAGAGGGGTTTGAGAGGGCTTGTGTTATTAGAGGGGTTTGTGATATTAGAGGGGTTTGTGGTATTAGAGGGGCTTGTGGTATTAGAGGGGCTTGTGGTATTAGAGGGGGGGGGGGCTTGTGGTATTAGAGGGGCTTGTGGTATTAGAGGGGTTTGTGGTATTAGAGGGGCTTGTGGTATTAGAGGGGCTTGTGGTATTAGAGGGGCTTGTGGTATTAGAGGGGTTTGTGATATTAGAGGGGCTTGTGGTATTAGAGGGGCTTGTGGTATTAGAGGGGCTTGTGGTATTAGAGGGGTTTGTGGTATTAGAGGGGGGGGGGGGGCTTGTGGTATTAGAGGGGCTTGTGGTATTAGAGGGGCTTGTGGTATTAGAGGGGCTTGTGGTATTAGAGGGGCTTGTGGTATTAGAGGGGTTTGTGGTATTAGAGGGGCTTGTGATATTAGAGGGGGGGGGGTGTGATATTAGAGGGGCTTGTGGTATTAGAGGGGTTTGTGGTATTAGAGGGGCTTGTGGTATTAGAGGGGCTTGTGGTATTAGAGGGGCTTGTGGTATTAGAGGGGTTTGTGGTATTAGAGGGGCTTGTGATATTAGAGGGGCTTGTGATATTAGAGGGGCTTGTGATATTAGAGGGGCTTGTGGTATTAGAGGGGCTTGTGGTATTAGAGGGGTTTGAGAGGGCTTGTGTTATTAGAGGGGTTTGTGATATTAGAGGGGCTTGTGGTATTAGAGGGGCTTGTGGTATTAGAGGGGCTTGTGGTATTAGAGGGGGGGGGAGGGCTTGTATTATTAGAGGGGTTTGAGAGGGCTTGTGATATTAGAGGGGCTTGTGATATTAGAGGGGCTTGTGGTATTAGAGGGGGGGGGGGAGGGCTTGTATTATTAGAGGGGTTTGAGAGGGCTTGTGATATTAGAGGGGCTTGTGGTATTAGAGGGGTTTGAGAGGGCTTGTGTTATTAGAGGGGTTTGAGAGGGCTTGTGATATTAGAGGGGCTTGTGGTATTAGAGGGGTTTGAGAGGGCTTGTGTTATTAGAGGGGTTTGAGAGGGCTTGTGTTATTAGAGGGGTTTGAGAGGGCTTGTGTTATTAGAGGGGCTTGTGTTATTAGAGGGGTTTGAGAGGGCTTGTGATATTAGAGGGGCTTGTGATATTAGAGGGGCTTGTGATATTATAGGTGGCTTGTGAGGGCTTGTGGTATCAAAGGGGCTTGTGTTATTAGAGGGGTTTGTGATAGAGTGGGCTCGTGATATTATAGGTGGCTTGTGAGGGCTTGTGGTATCAAAGGGGCTTGTGTTATTAGAGGGGTTTGTGATAGAGTGGGCTCGTGATATTATAGGTGGCTTGTGAGGGCTTGTGGTATCAAAGGGGCTTGTGTTATTAGAGGGGTTTGTGATAGAGTGGGCTCGTGATATTATAGGTGGCTTGTGAGGGCTTGTGGTATCAAAGGGGCTTGTGTTATTAGAGGGGTTTGTGATAGAGTGGGCTCGTGATATTATAGGTGGTTTGTGAGGGCTTGTGGCATCAAAGGGGCTTGTGTTATTAGAGGGGTTTGTGATAGAGTGGGCTCGTGATATTATAGGTGGTTTGTGAGGGCTTGTGGCATCAAAGGGGCTTGTGTTATTAGAGGGGTTTGTGATAGAGTGGGCTTGTGATATTAGAGGGGCAACATTAAAAAGGCTTTCTTAGAAAAAGCTGGTAAACTCGTTAAGACTTGCAATATTAGAGGCTTATCACCTATGTCATTGATAGTTTCAAAGTGACTTAATTGCCTATAATTAGTAGGAGCTTATTTTACAGGGGCAGATGATGTGTGAATGCCTTCACAGAAGTGTTGGTAATAATCTTACTGGGGATTATAATCTTATTGGGGCTCGTTAACTTCATTACCAGTGGCTCATAAGCTTAGAGATATTTCCAATTCACACAAGTAATAAGAATTTGGTTAATTGATTGTAGTTTGATTAAAAGTACTTTTTCCTTCTATCGTTAATTAAAATTTTAATAACCAGGTAATAACATGAAATGGCCCAAGTTGATAGGAATAAATAGTTGCTTTGGATATCATGAATTATAAACTCCAAGAAAAATTATAAACATAAAGGAATATAATTTAATAAAAGATCTTTAATTGAAATTCACAATTTAGTTAATTGTTAGAATTTATATTGGCTTTAACAATAAATACTTCAAAATTAATTAATTTTTTAAAATGACACATATTGTGGAAACTTTATACAGTAAGCCTAACACTGACATGCAGCACTGATGTATAAACTTGGCAAGGCAGCAGAACATAGATGTCAACTGATAGGTCCTGATGACCTGTTGACCTCAAGACATGCTGACCTTGGGTCATGTATTTATCCATCAATGAAAATTGCATTGTTGCGGTAAAATTAAAATAAAAGAAATTCTAAACAAGTTGACATTTTGTGTAAACAAACAAGCTAACAATACACATGCTAAACTTTTGTAACAGGCAAAACAAAAAAAGAACAAGAAAAATAATTCTATTTGAAATATGTCATTAAAAATACATCTGAAACAAAAATTGTTTTCTTTAACATTTAATGCATGTCTCATGATCATTCAAGAGGTGCAAAATACTTTTTGTGTAACATACACCTAAACATATTGCATAATCACATTTTAAACATAAATATTAAATACAACTTCATTCAGTGAACTCTAAAGTGCCAAATATCTTCTTTTTGTTTTAAATTTTAAATCAGTGCATTGCCTAATTGTAAAGATTTTTTTCTCTAATAAATTGAAGCATGCTTTTATTGGAGTCAGAATTTAAAATGTCATGCAGCCACCTGCTTTAGAAAAACCTGGCAATTCACCTCAGACTAGTCTTGCAAACAATCATCATAACACATCATGCTAGTTAGAAAATCACACAGCAAACCATTAGTTTTCCTTGTTATGTTAGTTAGGATAACTCTGGTCAACAGCATCAAGGGGCACAACTATGTTAGAGCAGGTCATCCAGACTCAAGGGGCACAACTGTGGTACAACAGATCATCCAGATTACCTTGGAAACCTGGAGAAAAGAACGAGGAAGTTGCAGTTGGTGATTTGATGGACGGTGCAGGCTTGGACGGCTGTTCGTGGACAACAGGGATGGGAATCATTTTCCCGGGTGTTTTAAAAGGTTTGACCGGCAGCGCGGGCTTGTCTTGTGACCTCATGTCCTGCTGAATGTCTAAAGGCAGGGACTCGGCTGATGATTTCTCGTCTTTGGCTATGATCGTGTCCCTAGAGTCCGAACTGGACACGGCGTTGTCCGAGTGCGGGGAGTGCCCGTCATCCTGGCTGCTAATGGACGACTGCTGGAGGCTGTCCAGGTCTGTGTTGGCCCACAGGGGCTTGGTGTAGTCCTTGTAGTCGAGGGTGTGCTCCAGGTCACGTCTGCTGAAGTCGTAGCTCTGGCTCGACTTCAGCTGTGGAGTGTCGTCTGCGCGGTGGTCGCTAAACGACTGGTGAGTGAGGCTGGACTTGAGTGGTTTGATGGTAGGTAAAGTAGAGTACGTGTTACTCAAGTCAAAGTCACTTCTCGGAGGTTCTTGTTCGAAAAACTCATGCTGACCTCTGTGTTTGCTCCCTTTGGTAGGAAGCGTAGCGTATGTCCCGGGTATGAATTCTCTTCCCTTATTTTGGTCATAAGGGAAGTAACTACCTGGAGTTGTCTGCCATGAGCTCGAAAGTTGAGCAGGCCCCGGCCCAGTGTTGGAAGAGTTGTCTTCCTGACTGAAGCGCCGAGTACGCTGTGGTGGTACGCTGTTGCTAGGGACAGGATGCTGGGCTATGCTGTTGCTAGGGGAAGGATGCTGGGCTATGCTGTTGCTAGGGGCAGGGTTGCTGGGTTCAGCATGGTGGACGGGGATCGGGATCCTACGGGAACCTGTATCTACACTAATGCTACGAGCTGGCGAGCTCCATGGCTTAGCTCCCTTGCTAACGTGTCCATCCTGGGTTGTCTGCCCCTGGTGTGTGCGCCCCTGGGTTGTCTGCCCCTGGTGTGTGTGCCCGGCTTGCCAGGGTGGGGGGAAGTGTTTCTCGTGGACGGTGGGGGAGCCTTGCAAACTTTTGCTGCCCGCGGAGGCTGCCAGAGCTCTCTCTGGTACCCCTGCACTTCCTCGCCTGGTGTACTGCTGGCCGAACTCTGGTGGAGGTTGGGTTACCTGCCCTTCAACGGGATGCACGTCTGACGCAAAGAAGAGTTAGTGGAACATGATAGAGCAACACTAATTTATTTATTTTAACCCCAACTTCGTTAATTAAAGAAAAAACTCCACTCTCAATCAAGTGTTAATTAGATAATAATAAACCTTGATACACACATTTTATTTAAAATATTTTCACTTAAATTAAAGGCATTTTATGTGTGTGTCTGTTACTAGTATAAGATAAGTATGAATGGTTGTAGTTTTTAAAAAAACCCATGTAGTTACTGAACAACTTAATATAAAACAGATGTTTAAGAATAACTTCACTCACAAGAAAAAAAGCGGTTTTTAAAGAGAGAGAGAACAGTTAACAAATTGTCTCGCTTGAGACAATAGTGTGTGAAAAAAGGGAGATAAATTAGATAAATGAAATTATAATACAAAATAATACGATGGAATACATTAGAACGTCTGAAATCTAGTCATATAACACATGCTAGACAATTAGAATGCAAAACTAAACTAAAGAAAAAAAATTACAAGCAGAATTGTAAACACTTTTTTTTTTAAAAAGGCATTTTAGCCCTTATCAAATCACTCTGAAAACTTGAAAAAAACTGGAATAACTCCAAAAAGCGATAAAAATATACCAAGCCTAAAATGGTACTAATGCAATCTAACTATTTCTAATCGGGTTTGCTTCCCTCTATTGTGTTGTTTTGGTAGGTCGAAGTATGTGTATCAAGTAAAGTGCTAAATCAACAGGAAGTCATTTCAACCTTTACGTCACATAGCGCCACCTATGTCAGCAAGCCAGACCAACCAAAGAGGGTGTTACTGATCTCATGCACAGCATTGCATTCTGGTTAGAAGTTTTTGAGCCGCTAGCACCGTGACTGAAGCTCCCCAGTCAGACGGTGCTAGGGGCGGATGATTTAGTCGAAGATGTCATGCAGGACAGAGTCCAGCCACTCGCGAGGAGGAGGCAGAAAAGGGTGAGTCGACATGCATAAAGTCGGGGGGAAAAGTGGGGGGAAGCACAACTTCCGCTACCTTGGACATCAGCGCCCATGGCGGCCAGTCTCTCCTGCTGCTTGAGGAAGAGGTTCAGGCCACGTGACTTGTTCGCCCGGCCACGCCCCCCGCTCACAACATACTCACTGGAGGTCGAGGTCACAGAGGGGGTGGGTGACGCCTGCTTCTGGCGTAAGAAGTCCCCGGGGAGGGAGGGGGTGGGAGAGCCTCGGTGGAAGATATCGCTGATGGCGGTGGGACGGTAGATGTTGCTTCTGGTGGGGGAGGGGGGTTCGCGAAATAATTGGTGGTCAGCCGGAGAATGACCTTCAAAGTGCTGAGGCCTCTGGGCAGCGTGGCCTTGGGGGTGTGGTTGTTGCTGGTGAGAGTTGAACTGTTGTACTTGCTGTTGATATGAGTTCGTTTGTGGTTGTTGCGATGGTTGATAATGTTGCTGTTGCTGATGGTGTGGTTGTTGCTGCTGGGGAGATGGTTGTTGTTGTGGTAGCTGTCTTGGTTGATGGGGTTGTTGAGGTGGCTGTTGTCTTGGCTGATGTTGTGATGGTTGTTGGCGTGGTGGATGCTGTGGTTGTTGTTGTGGATGTTGTGGGGGATGTTGTTGAGGATGTTGGTGTGGTTGCTGTTGAGGATGTGGTTGTTTTATGGCATGGCCATGATGTTGCTGTGGGTGTTGACTCTGCATTGGTTTGTGTTGCTGTATTGGTGTGTTGTGTTTGTTTTCCTGCCCTTTCCTCCTTTGGTAGTCCTCGTACTGTTGTTGAATGGACGGCTGATCGCTGGGCGGAGACTTCAAGTCTTCTTGTAGGAGCTGGACGAACTCCTTCATGGGGATGGGCTGGGTGTAGCTCGGCGGAGACATGGGCTGGGCTGAGTGCTGGATGATGCGTCTCTGGGGCTGCTGTTGGCGTGGTGCCTGGGGCGGGGAGGCAAGCTTGTGTTTCAGCTTCGGGGACAGCTGAGGCGGGAGGTGGGCTGATGGGGGCGGCTGGCTAGGGTAGGGCTTGTAGTTCGTGCTGGGTATCTGAGAAGGGGGGATGATGGGACGCAGATAGGGGGTAGGGAGCTGGACGGGCAGGGGAGGTGGCTGGGTTAGGGCTGAGTGGGGCTGGGCCAGGGGCGGCTCCGGCTTGTGACCGACCTGAGGTGTGTGAGGATTGGGGGCGTGGCTAGACGGGGAGACATTTTGTCGCTGTGACGTCTGCCATTGGTTTACATCTGGTTGAACAAGCAAGCCAAGTTTCTATTAGTTAATCTCTACATTAAGGTCAAGGAGTATGGAAACACAATTGCACATTTTATATATAAAAAAAATTCTCAATACACTGTATAGTAAAATGTTACTGGACTGTGTGCCATACATCATGAATTAAATAATTTTTGTAAGAGACGCCTAAATGCAAAAGTTAATTTGTTGGGGTTAAAAAGTGATGGGCACTGGTCAACGGGTGCAGTGGATGAGTACAACAAAAACATATCAATGACTGGCCAGATCAGGACATATCGCAATAAGGTTAAATATGGTAGATGGTTGAATGCATGGGTCGATACAGCAAGGTAGACTTATGGGCAACACGTGACAAACAAAAGTAGGCGTGTCTTAGACATGGTCAACCTCTGGCCTTAACACACACACCGTATAACGTTACGTTTGACCACAATATAGACAGTAGTGTACACAGTCGCATAGTGTTATGGTTTATGTGCTAAGTCACATAATGTCGTAATTTGTGGACCACAACTAACTCAGGTGGAAAACGTGTGCATGGCTTCAAGGCACAAAACAAACATAAAGACTTCGTCAACACATTTACAATTCGTTCAGCGTCCAGCTTACAAATGAGATTAGTTTTCTCATAACACATTTGTATTATTACAATAATCCAAATTAATATTAAGTATTTATATTAAGAGACTTACGGGTTAGCAGTCCAGCTCTCTACCGCTAGACCACTCCGTTTCATATTTATATTAAGTAGCCTATATCTTAATATTTATTTAATGAAATAATTCTCATATCCCATTGAAACTGTGTAAATTAATAAAACCATTGTCATCTGTTCAATCCGTAAATAATATTATGGAGACAAGCTATTTCCATCTCTATACAAAGAAGTGTCTACATGTTAAATTAAAACGTTGATCTCTTATCACTAGTACTGCACACGGAAGTTGAGAATTAGCTACGGAAGAGGGAGGACTAAATTTGATTGGGATCATTGAGCTTAGATTTGATGGGGATCATTGAGGTCTAGATTTGTTTGGGGTCACTGAGCCTAAATTTGATTGGGATCACTGAGCCTAAATTTGATGGGGATCACTGAGCCTAGATTTGATTGGGATCACTGAGCCTAAATTTGATTGGGATCACTGAGCCTAAATTTGATGGGGATCACTGAGGTCTAGATGTGATTGGGATCACTGAGGCATAGATTTGATGGGGATCACTGAGCCTAGATTTGATGGGGATCGCTGAGGTCTAGATGTGATTGGGATCACTGAGCCTAGATTTGATTGGGATCACTGAGCCTAGATTTGATGGGGATCATTGAGCCTAGATTTGATGGGGATCACTAAGGCCTAGATTGTTGGGGAGCATTGATCCCTAGCTTTTCTTCTAACATCCAGTTCGAATGTCTCAACTCTCGGCGATTACAGGATACATAAAAATGACTATAACGATCTGAATAACATAACATGCTTTATAACACAATATGCTTTAAAGCTTAATAACATGCTTACAGCATTCAGCGGACACATGCAGGTTGAACTACTAATTAGCGTTCTTAATTATTCGACGTGAGTAGCAGGTGTTGAGGAAGTTAGAAAGGATAGAAAAGTCTGCCTTAGATGGTGATGAGAAACATATATATATATATATATATATATATATATATATATATATATATATATATATATATATATATATATATATATATATATATACGTGTATGTATGTGTTTGATGCAGAGTAGTGGGATGTGAGCATCTCTATCAGATCAATGAAAATTTTATTTACATAAACTTGTTTACTCCTAAAGAAATGTGTAACGCTAGTACTGAATATAACAGTAGAAATAATGTATTTTTTTTACAAATGTAATCGAGACAAACCTTGGAGCCACATTAGACACAAAAATCTAAAACAATGTCTATAGAACAAACGGTATATCCATCGTTAACTAGCTCAGTGTTAACGTCTTTTGGTAAGTCTAAACAGCCGCATCAACCTTTTCCTACACCACACGATTTTGTTTTACCCTCGGCGTACTAAGAAGATAAAACGTCCTGAACCATAATGAAATATGGATATAATCGCGTTGAAATGTCCAGGCATAGAGCTAATAGAACGAGTAATGCTAAAGATATCCTTATCAGAGGAAGGAAGCACAATCATCGCCAGTCTAACCATTCACGCGCATATGGACGACAGGGAAAAAAATACCTGGGGTAAAAATAGATACACGAGCGCATTTTCTCTACCTGGGGATTAAACGTGAGGTGGAGGGGAAGGGGGGACGGGACGAAGAATGAGTAAATTTAAAACCAGGAGCGGGACAACCCGGGCAATCCCCGTGCCTCCCTCACCCCTAAAGGTGAGTACTGAGTAACGCTGAGCTACGGTTTACACCGCTTAACACAGTGTCTTAGAGTACTGGCGTGGAGGGGAGTGGGGTGGGGGGGGGGGGTGGTAACTCAAGTGGACGAGACTTTGATCTGGAGGAGATCTGTAAACATTGGTCTAAGACCTCAATGGAGTGAATATCGCCGGAAGAAAATAAGACATATCTAGCCTCAACCATACAAACTAACATGTTTATAAGAACTCAATGGATGTAATTTTACATCCGCTCAGTCCACCTTATTTTTAAGAATTACTGTGGTATTATATATATATATATATATATATATATATATATATATATATATATATATATACGTCATACATACATATACAAATATATCACAGTAATAATAGCTTCAGTCATCCTTTGTAACACAAGGT